AGTCCCTAAAGCAGAAATCAGCAGTTTCATGTTGCTGTGCTTGCCTCTTTCAGTGTCTTTTCCTTCTAGATTTTGTGCAACTACCATTAGTTCTACATGACATCCTATTTCAGGCTTTTGATTGATCTTACAGAAGTGTAACTTAGCAAGATCTTTCAATCACAGAAATACATTTCTTTTACATGCTTAATAGGCTCTTGCTAAAGTTGCTTAATGAATTACATCCAATGTTTGAAGAGGGAAGGTATGCAGGCTTAGGCAGGCCCTGCGATACTGAAAAGCAGGGAATATGCCCTTTAGAAATCAGGACAGTGATGGCTGTACCCTTTTCCCACTTGAGAGGGTTCTGAAGCCCCTTCCTGGCTCTCCTGAAGGTGCTGAATCTTCATCTTCTCCTGCTGTGCTCAGCACACCTCTGGCTCTGATGCAGCAGCAGTGTGGAACCATCTGCAGGGGCTGGACTGCTGGGGTATCCTTGCTGCCTGCACTGGGGAAATGGATCAGAAGCAGTGTTGTGGTCTTTGTGATGTTTTTCTTTGTCTCTGCTGGGCTGTCCTGTTCTGCTCTAACTTCTCCACAAAATATTCAGTTGTTTGTATTCACTGAGGGACAGTGTCTTCAGATATAATACAGAAACAAATAATGTGGTCTTATAAATCATCTCCTTTAAATATTGAGTTTGGTTTTTAGTGAAAGTGAATGGCACCACAAGCCTAGCTGTGTGTGTTTGAAGTTACTCTCTTTTCCCTTTTCAAGATGGAAATTGTCATTCTCTTCATAACTGGCGTACCCCTCTCCATATTGCCTCTTACTTGCTTTCACAATGGCTTCTAAGGGCCCATAAGTAAAGGTCGCTGTTGTGGACTGCACTACAGCTCAAGAAGAAGTATAACAAGTGCCACTCATACATTGGAGTGAGGAGTACTAGGGGACATTGTGTTGCTTTGGTTGACTGAACTTCTCACATGAGCACTACATTTATCCTTCTAGCTCTGTGTGAGTCTGTGTCTAACTTGATACTGTAATTTCAGTGAAAGAAACTGAGAGGAACTCAAACAGAAGAAACCACCATGGTCACTTTAGGAATAAATAAAATTTAGATTAGTCCACATCATTAGGAGATCAAAAGGTACCTGCTGTCACTCTTCTGTGAAGTTTATGACTCTCAAGATTTGGAGACACACAGATACATACTCAGGGAGAAGTTAACTTCTTTACTATGATGCTCTCTGAAGCACCCTGAAACCTTAAGATCTACCAATAGAAATAATTATTTTTGTCAAATCTCACTTAAATGCAGACTAGAGTAAGTCAGTATGGATAGCATTTAGGCTGTGTTCTTTGCTTAGTGTTTCTGTGGTTTCACTGAAGAGCACATTGGCTATGCAAACCCAGAAGATGCTCCAGCTTCACAAATAGATGGATTCTTAGTTGGGTAAAGAAATGCTAACTCTCATGACTTCCAGTTCAAGCAATAAGGTGAAAAGCAAGGCTGTCAAGCTGAATGAATTAAGTCACTTGTAGCAGGATGCTGAAGGCATTACCTTGCCAACTTCTGACAGCAGCTCTTTTACTGGCTGCAACTAAGATTCCGCCACAGAAAATCTATACACTAGCTCTTATTTCCATCTTTTGTGTATATGTATGGGAATCTAAAATTGAGAGACCTGTGAATGATTCATGAAAATACATGATATTTGAATGAGCAACAACAACAAAAAAATAGGGAACTCTAGGACTATCTTCAAATTAGAAAACAACAGCAGTGTTTGGGCTATGCTATTGGGGACAATTGTACTTCACAGATGGACCACACTTTTTGGACCACTGGAGAAGAATGAACAAGCCGACAACATGAACATGCTTTACAAAGGAACTGAAAGTGTAGGAAAGAGACAGTCTCATAATTATGCTTTTGGGGGATCAAATTGCCTAATTACAGCCCAAAGTGCTGAACCTGATAACATTGGGATAATTGTGTGGGCTGCAGAGCTGTGTAAAGGCAACACTTCTCTACTACTCTTTTCAGGGGGAAAAATATTAGTGTATCTATCTCTGGTTGTGGAAGTATCCAGAAGTTAGCATGACTTTTAAAGAGAATATATATCACTTGCTGTGAGATTCAGAATCCTTGTGTTCAGCCTGAAATGGCTTTGTGGGGAGTAAAAATTAAATGCACTTAACTGCATAAAATGATATGCACACTGACCACCTCGGTTCTGCTTTAGTCTAGTCAAAATCAATTTGCAAAATGATGCTTGGAGCTAGTTTGAATGAATGATGTAATTTCCACTGCTTGAAAAGTATTACTGAACCTGTATTTACTTCATCATACCTGTACTATATTCTTCACAGGCATTATTTTACCTGCATAGGCCTCTGTAGGCTGGTATCCCTGTATGTTACATACCTCAGACTTTAAAGTCTATATGGAAAAAGGAATAGGGGAAAAAATACTTTAAACCCACTGAAAACTCCCTCTAAATCCATCCTCACCTTCCTTACCTGAAAGCACAGTGCTTGCTGCAGAGGCTGACAAGGGGAGCAGGGGCAAAGAGAAGGGGCAGAGTTGTACTGGAGCAGCTCTCTTGTACATGGTCCATGTAGATGATACAAGTCCACCAAAATCAATTATTCTGAGAATGAGACATCTTTAGATGTAGAGAAAAGAAGTAACAATGGGAAGAAAAAGTGTGAAAGAGGGACAAGGGAGATAAGACTAAGGAGTAACTGACCTAAGAATGTACATAGTCCAGCTGTGGTTTTTCATAAGATCAGTAAGTTCCAAGTAAAGGCATTTCAGGCCTCATTGTTATCCTAGTGTCAAGACAAGTGTTACCTTCTCCTCCCCTCCAAAAGAACAAGGATTGCATATAATCTTATCCAGAGTACTGTGAGGAAGCTTTTCTTCCTCTAAGTTAGTGCATTGTTAATAGTAAGTTACGGAACTTAATTGGCAGACCTTAATAATGCAGCAGTCCCAGTGCTTCTATTGGCTATAATTTAAAGGCTGGTATACTGTGCCTGTTGTAGTCAACATTTGTAAAATGGATGGACTTCACAGACCTGGTGCTGTGCTCTCAGACTATATTGACTGTTGGAATTAAGTGCAGAGAAGAAACTATTAAATGCTCACAGTCAAGAGAAGTGCAACAGGCTTCCATAAGTCTTTCAGAAACTGTGATTTTTAAGTTAGATAAGCATGTAGCCCCTGAAGGAGCAGAATCACTCCTAAATTGTGGTTGTTTATCTTAAAAATTATTCAAATGGTGTTATGGAGATTCTCATTGGAAGTCAGAAGGATTTCTAAAACAAGCATTTCTGCTGTGAACAGAGAAAGGAGAGAAAAACAACTCCAAGTATGAAAATACAGTCTGGAGAATGAATGGATGGATGAATGAATGAATGGATGGATGAATGGATGAATGAATGAATGAATGAATGAATGAATGCGGAATTGATCTGTCTTATTTTTCTTTTGCCCTGTGGATGACCAAAGTTACAGGTTAGCTTGCAACACTTTGATCCCAGGGTTGACAGTTATATCCTTGGTGATTTCTAGTCTTGTGCATAGTAATTTTTTGACCAAGTATAAGCTGTTGAGCTAATGGGTTGGTATACAAGAAGAAGGGAGGTCATCTTTCTGGGGTTTTTTTGTTGGTTCTTTACAGCTTGTGACAGGAAAAAAACAAGGGTTTGAAATTAAGTCTGTATAAAAATGAGGAAGAAGAGATCATTGCACAGTGACAGTTCTTAATGATAACCTTAACGATATCCATGATAATGATTCAGGATCTTGGAAACCTTCAAAATAAGTGTTATGTTTTCCCATCACATAACCCATTTTCAGCAACTGAGAATTAAAATATACAGATAAGTACATTATCACATCTAGGAAATGAAATCAAGAAAGATTGGAAAACATTGCTGGGTCATACTCAAGTGGATGTGTTCATGCTGCTCAGTTCCTTCCCAGAAAGGCTGTGCTGTTACATGTGGGAAGGGAAACAGCAAACAGATGTTTTCCATCTGACCCTGTAGACAAGCACAAGGTTAGATGACATGAGAGCAGGAAAAAGCAGTGTTTCCTAATGGGGTAATGGCATAATGATATCTTGCTTTGATCAGAAAGGTGTACTAGCATTCCTGGCCCTGGGAGCATTGAGTGCCAAATGTTGTTAGATACTAAGTGAATACACTGTGTGCCATCTGGAACATGGGCTTTAGGAAAGGAGACACTGAGCTGCTGTAAGCTGCTACCATGGTGTTGCTGAAGTCCTGGGGCAGGTAAAGTTTACACTGCCTGATGATCTGCCTGGGTTCATTATGGTGGAGGGGATGTCTAGGATTTCATTTTCTAGGTACTTTCACCATACCCGTCTCCTTTTCCCCTTAAGAGTCAGTCAAAACAAAGCCTATTTTAAAAGAAATGAATGTAGAAAATGTGAAACATAAGGATCTTTTACAAAGCGTCTTTTACAGTGCTGGGGACATAAAACAGGGCAGTGGAAGATAAGCCATTATGTATGTTGAGGAAGCCTAAGAATAAAGATTATAGGCAAACAGTCTACCTTTCTTTACAAGGCCTTGATTTACATCCCTGAAATCTCAAATTTAGCTATTACAATGAAGTCCTGTTGCACACAGAGCTGCCTTTTTATCACCACTTAAAATCTAATTAATCCGTATTGAAGCACAAAGATTTCTGTTGTGTTTTAGGGTGAGGGGTCATAGAGCCCTCTTTGTTCATCCTCAGGCTTGTAATCATCAGGCATTGGGATATAATTTTACCAAGCAAATTGGAAGGTAACAGATCAAATCCTTATCGGAAAGCCTAACTCATGGTTTAGTGAAGTCCTTCATCCTTTATGTGAAACTTTATATTCATGAAGAACAAAAAAGTGTTTCAGAGCTTGCAAAGGGTTAATAGCAAGGGCTTATATTTGGGGCAGCAGAGACCTAAAATCACCACAGCTTCCACCATCACCCAAGGTAGCAGTTGATACAGAACTGCTGGGGAGACCTTTCTCCTCAAGCTATCAGGACTCTGCTCTTACAATGGCCTTAGTCTATCAACCAGTGATGCAATTAAGTGGCATATTGGTCTCTCTGTTGGGATGGGTCCTCTCCTGTCTCACCACCTATCTACCCCAGTGGAAAAACCTTAACTTGGAACTAAATGAACTGGAGATCTGGACCATGGGACTCTGGCAAGCTTGTGTTGTCCAGGAAGAAGGTGGAATGCAATGCAAGGACTTTGATTCTTTCCTAGCTTTGCCTCCAGAGCTCAGGATTTCTAGGATTTTGATGTTTTTTTCCAATGGATCAGGGCTTTTGGGCCTTTTGCTCTCAGGATTTGGGTTGGACTGTATGAAAATTGGTGAAAGACAACAGGAACAAAAGAAACGGTTGTTGCTGTTTGGAGGAATGCTCTTCTGGATATCGGGGATTACAGCTATTGTCCCAGTTTCCTGGGTTGCCCATTCCACAGTCCAGGAGTTTTGGGATGAGAATATACCAGATATTGTTCCCAGGTGGGATTTTGGGGAAGCATTGTTTGTTGGCTGGCTTGCTGGATTTTGTCTTATATTAGGAGGATCCCTACTTAATTGCACAATCTGTTCTACTGATGTCCATTCGTCTTCGGTCCGTTATGCAGTAGCAGAACAGCAGGATCAGTGTCAACGCTTGGAAACTGAAACAAGGCCTTAAAATGTGAGGTTTTAAGCAGTACAGCAATACTGACCTATCTTTTCCAAACCCTAGTGCAAGCCAGAAGCTTGTTCTGGTAGTAATTCAAAGGACTCCTTGTTATCCAGCTGATTTCCTAAATTTATGTCTGTTTTCTCCATCAACTGATATTGGAAGGTGGTGTGTTTTCTCACCTGTGGAACTGCTTCAAACTGTTTCGCAGCAAAATGCTGAGGTGTTCACAGACTGCACAGAAAAGGTGCTTTTGCTTTCATAACTGCACTGTAAAATCCTGAAAATGAATATGCATGTTCTCTTACAGCTTGGATTTTAACCAAAATGTGCTTCCTTTTTATGTAACCAATGAAATAAGCCCCAAAGTTTGATTCCCTGTTGCAATTTTCCAGTTGACTGATGCAGTGACAGATGAACTTGGAGATTTCCGATCCTAAACAGTCTTAATTCCTGCATTGCATCTAATGTTTTTTCTGTGTATTTGGAAATAGTAGCAAGTTTTACAAGATTTATAGTAGAAGCAAGCTTAGTAAGCTCTGAAATTGCAGCAAGCTTTGCAATTATCTTTTTGTGCATGGTGTGTGATGGTGTGGGTCCTTATATGCAGCAAACTGTATTTTTCCAGTCTGCCACATTAAACTGCCCATACAAGTTATTCTAAGTGTTTCTGGCATCTGCATACTTAATGCACCAAAAATAGGCTGAGAAATGCTGCTTTAAAAACCAGTGTAGCTATCTTCCTCTGACAGTCAGTCATTATGCATCCTATCCAAGGTCCCGTAAGTTCCATTCACTCATGTTTGGAATATGTTGCTGTATATCTGACATTAAACATATGACATTTAACTGGCCATAAAGCAGACAGTATAATTTGCCTAAGTGGAAGTTCATCAATGTGATATTAGAACTTAAAAACAAACTGTGAGATGCCAAAATCAGCAAAACTGCTGTAATGCTTTAGCTGATTGATGAAAAACCGAGTGTATGTTTTTCTTAAAAAAAACAAACCAAAAACTAACGAAAAGTGAGCCCAAATGTGGCCACACCACTCCTTTACCACACCACTTCCCAGTCCTCCAACAGTGCACATGGAACCAGGCAACACAAAGCAGGAGGGAGGGGAGAAGTATTTCATGCTTCATAGAGCATTGCTTTAACTTGGGCTTATGTATGACAAAGAACTGAGCTGAACATGTCTGCAAAAACCAATGGTTTGGTGCTTCTGTGACTGCACAAAATGAACTTGGCAAACAGACACAGGCTACTGTTAGCTGGATTTCTGTTGTCTGTGCTAGGAAGGATTTCAACTGGCACCTGTAATTACTTACCAGGCTGGAAAAATCTCAACTTAGACAAAAATGCACCAGAGCTTTGGAGAACAAGACTCTGGCAAGTGATGTAGGAACACAGTGTAAAAGTTTTTATTGTTTCCTAGAATTCAAGATTTCCATGATTTTAGTAGCTACATAAAATGGACTAGGACTTCTGAGCCTTGTGATCTCCAATCCTGGTTTGGACTGCCTAAAGATGGAGTATTCAGTGCAGAAGATAAAAAATGCTCTTCCTACTTGAAGGAATACTCCAGGTGATGTCTGGAGATGCTGTCCCTTGCTTACACTGTAATCCAGAAGATTTGGAATGATGGCAGCCCAGATAGGAAATAGGGGATGCAGTGTTCAGTGCTTGGTTTGGTGGATTTTTTCTAACTCTAGGGAGATCTCTCCTCCTCTTCACAACCTGCTTGTCATCTGACCATCAGTTATGAAAGCAGTGTGCAATGGAAGATATACAAGATGCCCATCTGCATGTGGAAATTGGAAATGGAAGACTTAAAAAAGGGCAGGTATTGGGTTTTCTGACTTCTTGCTTGCATTACAGTAAGAAGGAATGACCTCCTGAACAGACAGGTTACTGTTTACAAGAGCTGGGTAGGATTCTTTTTTACTGAGTAGTTCCTTTAATCACTACTTACTTCTGCTTTTAATTAATTTTAATTGATGAGCTATGGCAATCTAAACCATCTAATCTAATACCATAAACTGTATTTCTCCCAAGTCTGATCAATGACAGATTTTGTTGTTGTGGTATGACTTGGGGGAGTGAGTATAAAAATTTTAATCTCTAGGCCTGCATGGAGACTTGACCATATTTTAAATGGCAGAACTCCTACTGGGGCTGCTTTAGACAATGTATTTTTTTACAAAAGAATATTAGGTGAGGTCTGAAAGAGTTTGTAACACCAGTTCACCATGCATTACAGAAACCTAATGCAGTTCAACCTTGAATGAAGTTTGCTGGGCCTGTATCATTTACAGTAAACTAAATGTTTGCAGACCTTATGTAATGTAATGCAAGATTTTCCATTGTGAGAGAGAATATGAGCACCTCTATCCCTGCCCAGTCTCTCTCTCTAAGGAAAAACAGTATTTCTGGGCAATTATGAGCTGTTGTCTGGAGGAGACTCAACCATGTTCATTGCTGGTGCAGTTCTTACTTCACGAATGTGAAAAAAATAACTTCAAGTATATGAATTAGTTTCCATATAACTTATCCTTAGAGTTGCCAGTGATTGATGTGAACTGTCTATAAATTGCCATGATTTTACATTGATAAAGCTGTAGTGGCCATCTGTTTCTGCAAAGACCATATAAAGACACAAACAGCAATAAAAGAATTAAATAAAACACTGGTCTGGAAAAGAGCTTTGTTAAAAAAAATGTATTTTCCAATCACTGAAACACATGAAAAGTGCAGAGACAAGTTAATCTATGTAATGTACTTGCATACTCTTACAGACAAAATTAGAACAGAAACACATTCAGAATATAACCTGATTAAATATTTAGTTCAGTCCTGAGCATTCAATATTTGATACAGTATAAACATAGCAATAGTAAAAAGAAAAATAATCTTAAAATTATTTGATTTGTGTTCTATTACAATTTCTGCTAAACTTTGCTCATTTGGCTAAATATTCTTGTACCAGTAATATTTACATTTTGATATATGCAACTGCAGTGACATTGGTACCTGGCAATAGAATTAATTACATTCGCTATACCCTGCTGTGCAGGGTAAATTTCACTTCAGGAGTAATATTTATCACTTTAAACTTACGGGAGTTTATTTATTTGTATTGTTTTAGCTTATTCCATTGAGTGTTTCAAGTGTGACATGCTAAATTAGTAAAAAACCCCCCAAACTCCAAATCCAGAATTGTCAAAAGCTGCCTATAAATATGTTCAACTTTACCATTCTGGAAAATTAAGAGTATGAAGACTATGTCTAAGTCTCTCGTTTTTAAAGGAGTTTTGTAAGCTGAAGCCGGCAATACTTAAGTTTTGAATTCACCTTATGCTTACAAATCAGACAATAATACTTTTTTTTTTTTTGAAAATTATTCAACATTTGAGAAAAAACAGCTAACTGGGCAAGAATTTAGACGCCTCTATGTATTTTTCACAATAGCATCCTTAATGACATATATTTTTATGGCCAGAACTGAACTATATTAAACAGAACATAAATAAGACTGTAAATAAATAAAAGAAAAATCATAAAGTAGACCTCTAAACATCATTCTACAAACACCTTATATAATCAAATTGAGAAGCTGAAACTGTCAACCTTCATTTCACCTCTACATTAAATAATTCCAGATTCTTTTTTAAACTGACCTTTCAAACATGAATATTATCTCAAACCCAAGACACAAAAAACAAATGGGGCATTCATAAAGGATGCTTGATCAGTCATCTTGCTCAAAATAGCATGTTTGGCTTTATATTTTAGTGAACTGCTGTATTTGTGCATAAGAAAACCCTTGGGTGTTACACAGACCTGTCATTACAGAACTGTCACTTGGAATCTAAGACAGCTGCTACCATATTGTGGTTATATTGTTTCCATTTGCTGACCAAATAATTATATCATTTCTGAAAAATGAAGTCCATGCAATGTGTCTTGTTGCTTGGGGAAGAAAACCGTAGCCAGTGAATGAAATACATCTGAGTGCAACACACTAAGCAGAATATGAAATATTTCTGTTCTCTGCAATATCCACCTACTTACACAGTACCTACAGAAGATGATCCCAACTGCTTTACCAAGCCAGGACTGCTTGAACACCTACATCCAATGTTCTGAACTTCTAATGGAAGGCATCCAAGTTGCCTTCTGATGAAGCAGCCTGCTAGGAAGAAGCATGTAAGACATATTTGAAACAAGTAGTTCACATATATTCATTAAACCTGTGCACCCCCAATTGCATACAGGGTCAATTGTAAATTTTAAAAATTGTTATTTATTGTACCATAATTTGTGCAGAGGTCTAGTAAGGAGCTTTTCTTTTTCAGAAGGGGTTTACCTTACCAACAGGACTTCTGATATCTGAGTTAGCATGTGAGATATTTTTTTTCTGGTATAAATACTTTAATGAAGCATCTTCAGATCTGTAAACCTAGCGCACTCCTTCATGTATTCCTAGCTGGTGACCAGACAGCCCCCCTAGGACAAATGATTAACAGAGAAAAACTCTGTTTCAAGAGCACAGTGGGTATAACTATTTAAATTTCAATGTTAGTATTATGAATTTGATTCATCTTGTTCAGAAAGCAGCTGCCCCTTTTGGTAGTCTCAAAGTAAGTTTTTAGGGTTACTTGTCTGCCTTGCTTTTCTTACTCTCCCGCAGATGCAAGAAACCTTTTAGTGCAGGTTAAAGTACTGTACATTCACAAAACTAAACTCTGAATTCCATGTCTTCCTACAAAGTATTAAAAAACAAAACCAGAAAAAAATTATTTTCAAAAACAAAATTACACTGTGGGTAATGAATCTAATCAGCAGCTGTTGTGAGGCAGTCTGGATGTTTTGGAAAGGAGCTTATGCTTGTGGCTAACTTTAAACTATAAAAGTTACACTCTTGTACAAAAGTATTACATGGCAGAACAGCCATTTTCACAGTCTGCTCACATGAAAATAGTGAAAAGATAAGAAATTGTCTGTTGAACATAATTTTTCTCAACACAGTGCAGTTCAACAGGATACATGCTTAGTACTGCCTTTGTTCCTTTGTTCCATCTTTACAAAATAAAAACAGATGCGATACACACAAACTGTACAAAATCAGCATCAGTATACCAAAATTATTCTACTTTGGTTTTCTGTTTGTTGGGGTTTTTTTGCAATTTTTTAAGCTTACAACAGTTAAGTTCACTATACTTCACAAATAAACATATCAATAGTGACTGTAAAATACAAGATCTTTGAAAGCACATTACTGGAACTACAAAGCTCATCTGAAAAGAGATGAATAAGTGGAAAAACACTTCAATGAAAATGCATAATTATACATCATCAGCTGGAAGGGCTGGTATACTGATCTTTGCTCTTGTGAAGTATGCTATCTTCTCCCTGAAATTAGAAAAGAAAGCAAGGGATTTTTTTATCATTTGTGGCATAACTCCAATGTCATCTGCTGTAGAGTTGCTAATTCTGGAGCATAGTTCTTTAAAACACAGGTTTGGAAAATACATAGAAAATTTATTTACAACAAATGTGGCATTCTGACACAATTACCTTCTCAAGCAGATTTATGTAAAAAGCAGTTCCAATTTTCAAAGAGAAAAAATACCAGTATTTCATTAATAGCTTCAATGAGAAGACTGTAATATTGTTCCAGTCACACAATTTCCAATGGTGGTACTTTCAGTAGGGGGATGAGAAGGCAAAATAAATCATTTTTTACCCTGACTTGTGAAAAGGACAAGGGGGGAATAGTCGTGTCTGGTCAAGACTCAGAGAAGCAGAATTATCAAGCAGTTCTCTAGTTGCTTCCCCTGTACTGTTACCATTTCTGTCACCTACGAACCAAAACATTACTGAAGCATAACAAGTTTATACAGGCTTGCCTAGCAGCAGGCTAGAAAGCAGAAGAGAAGTACTGGGAGCTTAAAAATTAAAGCTCAGAAGAGTAATTTTTCTTGAGAGCTTTAAAAATCTCTCAGTGATTAGTCTGAGGCCACAGCACTGTAATAATTCCAACTAGCAGGGCACGTACAATTCAGCCACCAAAGGTAAGTATTCATCCAGAAGACTAAACCATGTTTTCCACTGGTGAAGATTGAGTTGCCATGAAAAACAGTAGCTCAGAGCAAAATCAACCTAAACTGACTTTCTAGTTGTGTGATGACTAGAAAAGAAAGGAAAATGGAGCCTTTTGATACCCTTCTTGCAGGGGAATGGAGTTGTAGGCACTATTACACATTCCTGTAGATTTAGGCAGTAGTCTGTCTACTAAATGACACTGATTAAATGTCACTGTTAAAGACCAGCACCAACCAAAACTCTTTCTCAAGACATGCATAGAAAGTGAAATCTTCAGGATGCTCTGAATTTCAAACTGAAGAAAGATAACTCAGCTGTAACACAGCTTAGCTTAGGAACCCCTTTCCTTTCTCTCTTGCTTTGATTCTGCATCACTTACAGCTATGGTTTGCAATACATGCTGCCACACAGGCCCCTACTTGCTTATAGATTGCTGCATAAGATGGTTAAAAAAAAAGTCTCACATTTATTAGCAGCTGACTTAAATTTCCTATAAAGGAATCCAAAATTCAAACTTTAAAAATGTGTATTAACTGACAAAACAAACCAAGTTAACTTGCAGTACTATTTCTACGTGCAAGAACAAGCAATGCATTTTTCAATCAACAGATGTATATTTATTCTTATATAGAAGTGTGGCCTCCAGGCTGCAAACCCTGCCACTTACTGGCCAGTCTTTTAGGAATTTAGACCACTGAGAATTAAGATAAATAATGTTCATTCTAGTTTATGTTAAACTAGAACACTTCATTAATTGCTTCAAGTAATCAGTTGCTTCACAACCAAAAGGAGAAGGGAAACAAAGCAGAGGAGGGATTCAAGATCTTTCTTTAATATTAAGTCTTGAGCAAAGCACAAGTAAGGAGTTTCCTGATGAGCTGTATCCTGTCTTCTCCTTGAGTGGCAATTTTTTTCAGGCCCTTGCCATCACTGAAGAGCTCCCATGACTTAAAGCCTACTGTCAACCTGCTGTGGGTGAAGTGAGCTACAGCAAGTCACACACATGCCTGCCCGCAGCAGATGTCACACAGGAGTCTGACACTCCACTCAGCTTCCTCTCCACCCTCTGAACTGCCACATCAGCAGGTCACTGAGGCCTGGCCCCCTGAAACTCTGACTTAGAGCCATGTTAAAAATCTGTGATGTTTCTGCCAAGTCAAAGCCATGATGACTTTTTACTAATACTACAGAGCGTGTCTGATTATACCTAGAAACAGTTCACATTACTTCACTACATTAAAAAGAGCATCAAAAGCAGAACAGGCCATACCTGAATGACTGCACCTGCCGTGGCACTTTCTGGCTCTGCTCCCGTAGCCGGCACACATCCTTAGAAGCTTTCCTCATCAATTTCTCAGCACTTAAACCTTGTTTCTCCTCTTCTTTTGACTGTTCAGCCTGTGTCAGGAAAAACAACTGTATTTTGCTGATAATGAACAACTACTCATTTCAAAGAAGTGAGAGATGCTTCTGTGTCAAGCAAAACACTTGGCAGTGTCAGGTTTGCTGTTGCTCAATGATATTAAAGGTCTTTTCCAGACTAAATGAATCTATGATAATCTCTTATATATAAAAGATCAGCAAGATAAAAGGCTGACATCACAAGTCTAAGCCATGGCCACAAAATAAGCTAACGGGGCTTTTCCTAAAAGAATAAATAGAGCAAATTCCATATCATCACAGGTGGCTACTCCATTTTGTAAATTCTGATATTTCTTAGGGGTGTAGTTAGACAATACCTAAATTTGTATGAACACATGTTGTCTATCCAAGTATCTTTCTAGAACTGTGAGCCACTGATTCTCTTCCCATATAAAATACTTTTATTTCCTGAGAAAAGCTCTTAGGAAAGTTGCCTATACCCACTCTAGAATGACTGACAGAAAAAAATAGGGAAGGTGTGCTCTCAAAATACACTTTCAGGTTTTGCTGGCCATGTTAGCAAGGAACATTAATTTTTGTGCCTTTATTCATGACATAGCATATTCATGGCATATTTTGCACATGACACTCACTTCTTTCATTTGCATTGTAGAGGTATAAAAGCCAAGGCAAGGAAACAGAACACCCATGGTAACAACAGCTCAAAGGTCTTTGGTGAACAGTGCTGAGCAGCTACATACCCCACAGTAAGTTACTGAATTTCTGTACCTCAGTATTGCTGGCTCTATTACTTACATCTTTACTAAACTTCAACAGGACAGCTGCAGCTATGCCATCCACTATTTCGGCAACAAGACTGCTACTAATAGCTGTGCTTTGGCTTTAAAAACTATCAAGGGCTTCTGAATATCCAATATCCAATAATTTGAATAGTAACTCTTTTTAGGTGGCCAGTCTCCTGAAATTCTTAGATAAATGACCCCTGTTCATACACAGGTGAGTTCTGCAACAAACTGTCACCCACATCACACGCGGGGTACATCGTGTGGGCAGTGCTTTTATTTCTAGACTACAGAGGCTGTCAGACAAATGTTATTTATTGTATTTTGAATTTTGTCAGCCATCAAAATTCAATAGAAGCAGTTCACATTCTTAAACAACTATAAAGTAGTAGAGAGTTTAATTTTTGATTCTTCAGAGTTGAAAATGCTGTTCATTACTTCAAATTAAAATACATTTGCAAGCCTGAAACAGCAATCTTCAAAGCTAGTTTGTGACTTAGAAGTTCACATCTCAGTTCTGAATTCAACCCAGTAGAGTCCTAAACAACAAAACCAACTAATTCAAAAGAGCTAGTCCATACTATCAGTTTCATACTGGGTAGTTGTAAGAAAGCTGCTCACAGCAGGATAGTGGTACCCTCTGTCTGTTGAAACGCACTCTGGTTTCTATATGAAAGTGTTTTACATGAAAGAGCAGCACCCTTTCAAAAACTCACTCAAAATCCAGTCAGCTTATACTGCTGTTAACTTCTTCAGTCCCCAACTCAAATAGCTATGATTTTTAAATGAAATTAATCTATAAATAATTGTTTTCTTTATTAGTAAGTGAACATAAATTTGTGATCTACAACTGGTAATGTCTTAATTAACTTTATGTATATCACTGGCCATGCCATTTACCAGCTCTCCTAATTAATTTATCATCAAAACACTACACATACAATATTTCAAATTTTTCTAGTTTTATCCTTTCCCTTACTATACATGAGAGTCTTGTGATTACTGCATTTCAGGTTTAGGGGCATAGATACTTTCTATTATTGTGTATCCTTTTTTCATTTTTGAATCCATTTATTTTTTCAGGACTCTCTAAGAGAAACCTCGGTTTCAGCCCAATGTCTCTAGGAATATGCACATGAGAAGGTATGTACATGACCAGGTTTATATTTACATCATGTTCCTTGAGTGTTTAATATAAAATATAGAAAATAACACTAATACAATGGCCAGACATTCAATAAGTCCCAAAATCTGGCACATTTTGTGCTGATGTACCCCCCCACCCTGGCAACACTATAATCTCAGATTCTTTAAGCAATCTTAAAACACTCATTCATGACACTTAGCTACCAAATGGAAGTGTCAGACAGGAATCTCTCTATCTGGGCTTAGCTTAAGTTAGTTTGCTGACAAAGTTACTAAGCTGAAATGCTATTTCCTGCATTGTTTTTCCATGGGCTTTGTATAGGAGAAACTGAATCCAAAATAAAACTAACTGTGCTAAACACCAAATCACTGGGACAAGAACATACTTATTGGTATTAATGACATAATTACACATTATCTCAACATTAATGATGTATTAAAAAGAAACAAAGATGATACTTACAGGAATCTTTTTTGGATAGAAAAGCAGTAATACTTCAGAGGACATTAGGTGTCTGAAAACTTACTTGTATGAGGATTTAAGACTCAGACTTTGAAATACTGTGTGTTTTCTCACAAACATCCAATCTAAACAAGAGAAAATGCTTCTGCTGCACAGAATTACTTCTGTTTTCTGATCTGCAGGTATTAGTGGGCATTACATACTTGCTGCAGTTAGGAAGGTGTGGAAGGAATGGGAAGAAAGGTATGGAGTCTGTGGATTTGGCTTCAAGCAGAGTAACTGCATGCTAGCAAGCAGTCACTGATTTTCAACATCCCCCACATCTGCGGTTTCATTTTTCACTTGAGACTCTCTCAGTTTCTCTGGTGTTTCCAGCTGCTACATTAGTCTGTGCCATTATAATGCCTGCAGGATCTAAGAAATAATCTATGACAATGTTCTCTAGGCTGCTGTGTTTTGCTAACCCAAGGGGAAACACTGACAACACAGTACAGTGCTCTCAGGGTTGTTTTGCTCCATAGGGGAAGGCTGCAATGATTTTAAGGGTAGAAATATTTCTAGAAACTTTGTAAGCACTCTTCAAAGTGGTGGAGTTATTGTGATCATTGTTCTGACTTTTACCTTGGAAAGGAGGACTTAAATGCTGTGCTACTGCCTGCATTTATTTTAGGAATGTGTATTATTCGTCACCAGAGTGTGTGTAATGGTGTTGATCACTGATCACCAGCCATACAAAATGTGACAAACCTACCTCCTGCCTTGGAAAAGTCAGCTGAAATAAAGCACAAATCCAAAGTATTCATAATATGAAATGTTGCAGAGGCATACTCTGTTCTACAGGGAATAGCTTTAGAATGGGAGTAGTTTTATTAAATTAAACAGTCAGAAATTATAAATTCTACCCTGCATCCAGCATTAAACTGTGTAATTCTACATAAATTTTGCTATGCTTCTTTCCTATAAGTTACATTTTTATGGGTTAAAACTTAGATCAAATTCATATAATGAATTCACATGGTAAAAACCAATACAGTTACACTAAAGAGTGCACTATCTTCCCCCATTTTGCCCAGCATTTTTCAGAACACTCATCCATGTTCACCCTAAACTCTGCTAGTGTTCTATAGTCATTTTAGTACTCCACTAACTATAGCCAACAGCAGATGCCAAAAGTGGGACCAGAAGACACAAAAGGACATAAATGTAGGATTGGGAGAACATGCTGGGGAAGTTTTATTTCCTACGGTATCAGTCAAGGATTTCTTGAAATATGTGGTGTCATAACATGCGTTTTTCTACCATGAATTTAGCAAATCAATAAATCCGTAATTTTTTTAACCTATGGAAGCTTACAGCACTCAATGTTTTATTGAAAACATTTTTACAGTTTCTGAATGTCATGTTATGTTTGCCTGCATTTAACCTGCCATCTGTTTGATTTTCTACTTTTTGGAGATACAAGACCATGATTAATTGCTCTCTTCCACCTCACTCATGGTTGTATGGACTTTAGTTGCAGCTACTTAGCTGTTCCTAACACAGAAGTTGTTTCCTCCCTTGACCATCCTTGTTGATCCTCCATAGGATCATTATCCCCTTTGATCATCCCTTTTGAAAAGGGAAACCAAAAATTAACTATGTTTATGGTACAAGCATATAATATTTAGATCTTAAAGCAATTATATGTTTTGTTCCAAGTATTTTTCTTAGCAATTCCTGTCTTATTTGCTTTTTGACATCTGCTGATCCTGTGATGGTTTTGTTTATGTTTTTGTCTCTTATATGTGGAGTATCTGATTCATAAAATTTAATTTAGAGCACAGCTTTGTAAATGTAAATATTAGGATCATCCTTTCCTCTTCTACACAAGGCTATTTACTGACATTTAGTTTAAAAAAAAAACAAAACCAACAACTGTTGCTTACATATGAGGAGGGCCTCTGCACCTTGTTAGAACTTTCCATTTTTACTACTCTGAATAACCTGGTGTATCAAAACACCAAACTCTATTAACCATGAAGAGCTAAGGAGCACAGATCCCTCCTGGCTGTCACTCACATTGTCCCCTCATTTAAAACCGATGTACATTGACTGACTTGGATGGGAAGCAGGCTCCAGAAGGTGTTTACTCCAACCTCCTGTTCACATTAGGTGATGCCAGAGCTGAGTAATCAGTCTAGACCAGTAAGGTTTAGAATACCTCCAAATGTGCAGTTTGGGTGGGTTTGTTTTGCTTTTTTCACTTGGTTGAGTCTTTAACTCCTCCAGCAAGCCCTCCAGGGCCCTATTCCAGTCGATGATCTGCCTTAATGATTTGAAAAAAACAAACAACCTCCCCAAAAATATAATAGAAACCCTACAACATCTAACTTATTAATGTATCTTGTTGGAATTTTCATATTCCAACTTCTCACTGTTGCATCTCAGTCTTCTATCCTGTTTCTTGTCTTTTAATCATGTGGGGGCATCCTACTACCTTATGGCAGTGCATGTACACTTGTACTGTTCAAGAGACCATCATGTAGAGAACAGAATTTGGCTTTCCTTTGCCAAAACTAGAACAAGTATGTCCTGCATGAAGAAATAAGCCATTGCCTTATCCCCATGGCCATACCACTCTAAGTAGTGGTAATTGCTCCTTCTACCTGTTGCAAGCATCTTTTGGCTACAAGTTCTGGGCAGACTGCAAAGCAACCAGTGCTGAGGGACAGAAAGCACAATGCAAGTCTGTAAAAACAGGGCTGGGGTGTGAGAATTCTAAATTAACTCTGAAGTAAATGCTATTTTACTACACCAGCCATAACTATTACTCCAAATAATAGAGTTTCTAATGTGACAAAGTATTTAGAGGGCACTAGGAAAATGTTACCTCAAATTCTGTGTTTAATGTTGTAGTATTGATCAATAAAGGAATAGTTTACACTTTGTAATTAATAATGTAATAGAGATGTAACTAGTCAAATGTGAGCTTATGTAAAAATATTTTAACATCATTGACCAATTAACAAATTTATAGCAAAGGTAGGGGCATATTTACTCACACATATGTGAATGCTGCTCATACCTGTTTTTCAGCTTGTTTCAAGAGTTTCTGGAAACGTTCATCCTCTAGCACACACAGAGGAAGGTCTGCCTCTCCTCTGCCTTTTATCTCCTCAAGCTTTTGTTTGAGGTCCCTCAAGGCCTGGAGCTCATCATTCAGACGATTCTGCCTTGTGCGTGACGCCTGGAGATCCAGCAAGTCCAGGGAAGTAGATATTTTGGTGCGGGTTTTTTGGCAGTCATTTTTTCTGAAGTAAAAAAAATTCACCTATCCTGGAATTTTTCTTTAGTCAATAGCTAAAAATAAATGCTCCAACCAAGTGCATGATGTATTTACAGGTTAAAAACAAAAAACCCATTCTGATCCCTGGGATGACACTGCTGGGAGACACAACACTAAACAGAATTCCCCACAGATTTCAACTAGGTTATTTATTTTTGTAAATATTTGCTTTTTCAAGGCCTAACCAAACACAGAATGTTACAAACTCTGTAAACATGCACTTCTTCACCATATTTCACACGATTTACTCTCCTTTCACAGTGACTTTTTGCTTAAGTCAGGAGGAGAAGCTATCCCAGACTATTCAGTTTCCCCAGACTTTTCTTTCCTATGTAAAATGCCTCCTACTACCTAGTATATAATTCTCTAAATTCATGTAAGAATGAATTTCATGCAAGAGAATCTTACTCTCTTGTCCTTCAATCCTTTCGCTGCTTGAATACTTTTGGTGGAGAGTAAATTCCCTTTAAAAGGACGTTTAAATCCTTGAAATCTTCACCAAAATTTGCTCAAGATATATATTGCTGATGTTAACTTCTGTGCAGCATAGGCCACTTTGTGTCACTTTATAATACTCATGTTCTTTAACCCAGATCCCTTTGACAGTAACTCAAGTTCAACAATAAGCTCAAATTTAACAAGAAATGCCATGATGCTGAGCATCAGTGTTTTGCTGCTGGCTTCAGCCACGACTGAAACAACACAGGCTTTGTTGGAGGGGAGATGACATTGTACTGAGACCACTATGTTGATATTTCAACATGAAACTACAGCACAGAGTTGTGATACTTATGTTGCTTTTGCTGAAATACTTGAAATAAAGGGTGTCCTTTATGTCATTTGGTACTCCCAGTGTCCCCATATTTCATTTTAAACCACGTCCAGATAACACAGCACTTACCCGTTTAACTCTCAGGCTCCGTCGTTCTGTGGCGTTTCTCACAAAGAGAGACTTCTTGGCTAGTGTGGAGCTGTCGCTGTCGCTGCGATTCAACTGCCAAAATGTACGTAACAAACAGATATAAAGCACCTTCTTATGCAAATACACCTGCACTGGTAGAACCAGTTAGGGAACCTCAGCGTTTATATACATATAGGCCATAATTTTAGGATAAAGTTAACAAGTTTGCAACTAGAATAAGCATCTACTCTAAAATTATAATCCTACACCATTGATCTTAGCGAATGAATAACAAGACTCTTTAGGAAGGCAAGGAAGGTAACAACAGTTAATAAGTATCATTGTCTGGCTGCAGATACAAACTATGGATTTCACTTTCCTGGGGCAGGCTTTTAACAATTTTACTACAGGGCAGGTAAATTACTGTAGACATGCACCTGTCCAACCAGCAGTATTTTTGTATAGTAATTAACTGTAATGAGCAAAGGCATGCTTACAACTTCCTTCAGAAGCACTTCCTACTTTTTAAAATTATGTGCCACAGCTTGGCAGTAGTTTCTTCATAACTTTAGCATTATTTCATACACATCAGTGCAGAATGACTGTTAGGTGCATCAGCATCAACAGATGGTCAGAATCATCTCTCTGCAGAATATGTATTTCACCTCTTCAGGAAAGGACAAAAAAGTAATTACTCTGCTAACATTTCAGTAAGCAAAGCCAAGGCCCTAAAGTGTGTTTACACAGGGCTGACTGGGAGCTGGGGAGTAAGAAATACAAGCATTTGCAATACAAAGTAGACCTCTTGAGAGACAAATCTGTCTTTTCACCATGAGCAACTACTGGAAGCTCACTCCTTGATACAGAGAGGCAGCCATCATTACACTAGTGTTCTAGGCACTTTTCAAGGGACATTTTCCAAAGCACCAACAGACTCTGGTTCTGTCCGTCAGGCCTCAAGGATCTCTGTTTTCTGTAACATCAGAAGTGCTCTCTTAAAGCTAAGCCATCTCTTGATGGAGATAAGAGATCTATCTCTTGATAGAGAGCAGCTGGCACTTCACCAAAGTGTATTCAACAGGCATTTTCCTCTTGTACAGCACCATAATGCAAGGAAGGCTGAATGTGCCTGTGGTGCAAGTTGGGGACTGGGAAGACCCCCAGCTCTTCAGCCCTCTTTGCGAACTTGGATGCAGCTACAGTGCCCACTCTGGAGTCACCAGCAGTGGGTAACAAGTGTTCCTGACATGGCAAAAGATGTATCTGCAGACATGCTCTTTTCACAGGGTACTGTGCTTCCAGGCAATACCATACACAATGAGAAACAGAATGCTTTATTCAAAGTAAGGTTTTGGTTTTTTTATTCTGGCTCTTGGCAGCAGGTATGTAGCAATGTTCAAAGCTACAAAAGCCCAATACATTTCCAGATGCAAAAACCTCAGAAGTTTACACTGACTAAACTACTAAAGCAATTAGTTTTACTTCCTATTGAAGACCTACATAGGCAGCAGGATAAGATGATCTTTTTTTCCCCAATACTATTAACTTCAGTTTAGGAATTAAGTTCCATCATAGGAATTAAGATGAAGGGTAGCTTCTGAATTCAGCCAATAATCTATCCAAATTATATAAAGATTGTTAGAAAACAATCTGCTATATTTCATTCTGGAGGGTATATGGAATAGTTATTTAAGTATGTAGGTATTGACTAAAGATTTATTTTTTTTAAGCCAATGAGAATCACAGAGAAGTGATGAACTTTAATGTTCCCAAATGATTAAGGCAAATGCCTCTAACTGATCTGGGGAATTAAAACGTAAGTATTACTTTTTTTAAAAAAAGGACGTATTTGTATGAGTAAACTGTAGAAACTAAAGATCAAAATAAACTGCCTTTTCTAGGGTATCTGTGATTAAAATTTATAGAGCTGGTAGTCCACGCTTAAATCTTTAAACACGTGATTTTCATAGTTAGTTTAGCAGCAGCAGGACTCACAATTTAAATCTTTTTTTCCTTTTTCCATGCTACCACAGATCTAGAGAGACTGGAGAACTTAGCTGCCAAAGCCATGTTTAAAACCCAGCCCCAAGGCAGCGCTTGCACATCTTTCAAAGACGCAATTACAGCAGGATTTGGGCTGCCTAGGTTTAAAACCAGTTGAGATACAAAGCGAGATTTAAAACTGATGACTGAGCTCTTTCCACACTGTTACCCTTAAATGGTTGCATTATTAAAATATGGTAATGCAATGGCATTTTACAGTGAATTCTATTTCATGTTGTAACAAATTGTTTTGCTGTGAGAGTGCTGGAGTTGCTGACGTGCAGGGAAACACTTTTTGCAGACAGCCAGCACAGCCATCTGTGTTATTTCTCTCCAATAGGATGTATTTTTGCCCTAGTAGAGGTGTTTTGCAAGAGTATGCAACTCTGCTGAAAGTCAATTCTACTATGCATCAGTTCAGATAGGGAAAGACTCTAGAGAAAGCACAGGCTCTGCCTCTCACAGGGAAAATTGGTACATGACTCAGTGTCATTAATGCTTCATTCCCAAGAAGTTAAATGACTGTTTGGTTAATAGCTCTTCATTCCAAGTGTTTTTCCTCTTACCCTGCAGATGTATTGGTTCCGCTCGCCTGGAGAGAAGGTTTGGGAGCGCACTATCATGCTGTTCCTGACAAAGGGACGCTGTCTGGAGCTCCAGCTGCCTCTGTCCTTGGGTCGGACTGCTGTGTTCTCGTTAACCAGTTCCTCAGTGTTAGTCTCTTTATCCACCTATGAAAAGGAATTTAATGTGTAAGACTTACTATAACCAGATACATGCCCCCACATAGTTTTTGTGCCTTCAGATTTTACAAGCATTCTCATTACCTTGCAGTGGATGGAAAAAGTTCAGTGGCAAAAAGCACCGTGCATTTACAGAGAAGCTATTTTAAGTAAAGAAATACAAAATTCCCAAGAGGCTTAAGAGTGTGTAGAGAGGCTTTGAAGGTACTCTTTGTAGCCAGTAAAGCCGAATCTTTTGCAGAAAGGCCTTTGCTGCTTGGCAGATAGTTTGATGCAAACACAGTCCAAGAAATGTTTTGCTTTGCCATTTGCAGATATTATGATTATTGCACGTTTATATTTACTCTTTTGGTATTTGCAGAAGAGCAAGGTTCTGCCGTGCCAGAGATGGTGCCTGTGCACACTGAAAGGAGGCAGCTGGGAAAGCTACACTGCCCAGGTCCTTCCAGGCATACTGCCACACATCTACAAGCCTCAGCAGCAGGGCTGCTTTATGGCAATCTCCAGAGCTTCACCAGCCTTGTGAACCCAGGGAAAAGACACTGCTGGCTGCTGTCCCTCAGCACAGCCTGCTGCCTACTAGAGTTGTCCTGTATGTGCCAGAGGGAGCCTCAAGTGCCCCCATCCCCATGGGTGGCACAGCCTGTGTTTACTTCCATGCTGCAATCATCCTGGCTGCTAGGCTAGGCCAAGCCATGGTTTTCACAGTGCAGGTGATAAATAGTGACCTAAATAGCACAACAGCAACCCTGAGAAGATGTTCTCACAGACATCTATGCTGTGACTGGTTCTGCAGGGGAGTCTGCTGTCTTTCACCCATTGTCTGGGTCCACCAAGCCCAGGCTTAGCAAAGCACTTGGGTGCGTGTCTAACCTTCACATGTCGTCCTTGAAGTCTCCCCTTGCTGAGTTAGGGCTTTGATCTATATTCACTTGCTACCCAGAAGACTGTCAGTACATGCAATAGTATTTTTATTAAGATGCAGAGATTCTAAAAATTTTATTTCTGAGATTGTGCTACCACATCAGGGATACGTTCACTAAACATTTACTAAAAGTGCTTTCAAGAAAATGGAATATAATTTAAAAAACAACAGTTATCAAGAAAATGGAATTAGAATTTGTTTTATGCAGTGTGTGAGCACGATAGTTCAAAAGTACACACAGTTTTAATACACATTTTGGAATTTTCTGTTCATGAATCTTTTGTCCTTTTTTCTGCTAAGACAGTTCTTGTATTTCACACCCAAAAACAAGGGGGAAAAATAAGGAAATCCCTGCATTGGTTTAAAGATCTTGACCCTTGTCATGTGTTTTTCCCTGTTTAGCGGGCAAATCAGAAAAAAAGAAAAGGAAACAATGAAACAGATGTGCAGAAATATTTTAAATACGTACAAGCTGAAGGTACTGAACTACTCTTGTATTTTGAATGTTCTCCATAAACAACAAAAAAAGTGAAGATGAAGAGTCTTGGTTAATCATCCTGGCCTTAGAAATTCTGCCTAGCATGTCTGTGTCCCTTTCATAGTTCAGAAGCAACCACACCAGTTTTGTTACAGGTACAACTGACAAGCGCTACAGTGAAGGCCACATCAAATCGTAAATGCATAGATGCAGGAGACTTCTGTATTAATTGCTTAGAAATAGATTCTTAGACACAGTAAGATACTGCAGGAATGTGAACTCTAAGATATTCACCAGGGTTAGAATTACAGCAGCTTGCTGGCTTTCCTGGGCCTCCTCACTGTCCTCTCTGTTCTTGTCTTCATTCATTTTTGGTGCATCCATGAGTAACCCCATGTCATCATTACAGTCACCTTCTGCTTCCAGCTTAATGCCATCTTCCTCTTCATCCACAATTTCATCAGAGGCCTCTGCAAGCATCTCTAGCCTGTATGAACAGAAGTAGCCCAGGCTTATTCTGAAACTGAAAAAGCTCACCAGAGAAAGCTACCAGAAAGCCCAGACCTGCACTCATGTGTAAGGCATGCATTTTCCTGACAGGGAAAACAACTATCATCCAAATGCTTTCACCAAGTTCATGTGTAGGCCCATTTCATTGCTGCCTCCAGTAGAACCCAGCAAGCACTACTACAGTTCACCTTCAAGGTCATTATGACAGCACTGCATTACATTCATTAGCTGCAATGTTCATTATGTTGAAGGACTTTCATTATAAGTTCATAAAACAAAAGCCACTCCCCTCTTCCCCCCAATAAAGCATGCATTTTCTTCTACACTGCAGCTAAGAAATTGCACAGTAACAGAACTCAAATAGCAATTTCTCAAGAAATCTGTTTATTGGGAAAGCTCACAATTTCTTCAAAAATAAGACCATTGATGGAAGTACATCCACACTGACTTCATCAGACAGCAGCTCTCTTTTCAAATCCTACTGCTTGCCTGTTATAGTTAATGTAACTATAATATTTGATGTTTTGCTACACTTCCAGTGGCTTCACAGCCCAAGTGGTTTCACAGGAAGATATACATGGATTGGAGGAGCATTGGCAGTAAGAGTTCATAGACCATCCAAGACACTGTAACTAAAGGAACGTGAATGAATTGGCCACACAAGAGGGCAAGACTTTACTTCAATTCCAGTGGTGGTGAGGCACTGGAACAGGTTGTCCAGAGAAGCTATACATGTCCTGTCCTTGGAAACGTTCAAGGCCAGGTTGGACAGGTCTAGTGGAAGGTGTCCCTGCCCATGGCAGCAGCATTAGACTGGATGATCTTTAAAGATCCCTTCCAACCCATACCATTCTATGAGTTTATGATTTCCAAAAGTACAGCCCTTTTGTTTGTCTAAGAAAAGGAAGAATGAGCTGAATCATTCAGGCATGAACAGTGAGGGTGGATAAGTGTCTTTACCAGTCTTCCTCAGAGGCTCTTTGCTCTTGTTCCTTCTCCTCATCTTCAGCCAGCTCTTGTTCTACTGCTTCCAGCTCAGCAGATGTCCTCTCCAGCAGAGCTGACACAGCATCCTGCTCACAAGGAAAAAGATGAAACCAGAGTTGAAGGAAACATAACAGGTAGGAAAATGACAACTCTTGCAAGAGTTGCAAGAGCTGCATTACCTTACCGCTCCCAGAAGTCAGTAGAAACAACCCCCAGATCACGAGGATACGGGGTTTGAATTGTCAGTGTATAGTACATAGGATATTACTTTTACACAGAATAAATCTCAATGGAAAACAATTGGTTTTAAAATGACAATGCAATCCAATATGCTCCTAACATCCTTCATGTATTTTCTCATCTTCCCTCTCATACCCATAATGTTCTTAGGTGAAAAAAGGGTGCTCTTCAAAGCTACATTTTCTATGCAGTTCTCTTAAGAAGGGATTGAAGCAGAAAAGCTTATTTAACCAGAAGAGTTAGTACATTTTTGAATAAACAGCATGTTCAATGCAATGGCTTTGAGTATGCAGAATAAAATAGTTAATAAATAGCAATTTTTAATGTGTGCATATGAAAATAAATGACACACTTAAGGAAGCTCTTCAATAACATTGTTTCTAAAAAGAAACACAGCTGAAGGGTTTCAAATTGGAAGTGGAATCTTGTATCCAGTAAAAACCATCTACCATATCCCACTCCCTTCTGAGATCCCCTACAGCCCCATATCACACGAAGTCACTCTAGACAAAAGTGCCTGCAAAACAGGGTCTTGGACCTTCAGGGCAGGACAGTTCACACATTCAAATAACTACAATGCAACGACACTACTGGAGTCTCTGCCTTTTTTCTTGCTATCACAGTAATAGCCAACACGTTGCTCACCAAGTCCAGTGAGTCCAATGACTCTGATTGCTTGCCTAACAGAAACATGTGTTCGTCATTTAGTTCCTTGGGTTTTTTGCCAGGTGTCTGCTTGCAAGACAACAGGTTGTACCACAGAGTACAGGTCTCATCAGAAAGTGATAAATCTGCCAGGCTGATCTGAGTCCCAGCCTGCACAAAATAAGAAAGGGGAAAAAGAAATTATTTAAATTTGGTTTGTTTCCTACAAAACATTCTACAGTACTCATCATGCAAAACGGGGAGCACAGATTTGACATGAACCTTAATTCCCTTTTTAACTGTACAGTTTTCTATTTCCCTCCACTTCCAGTTAAAACAGACAAATAGAAGTACATGGAAATGTCCTTCATATTGTCCATTCTGCCATCTCTTATTTCAGTCTGCAGAAATGTCTCCCCACACGCACACCCCACCCCATCCCACAGTTTTGCACACACCTGCTCTTGTGCATTCAGTAAGGAAAACCTGTGCAGCACCAGCTCATGGGGCAGTGTCACATGATTTTTCAGCTGTCCCACCACAAAAAGAATGCATACAACAAATAATGGATGACCTTGCTTGCTCTAACCAGGGAAGAAGGAGATGAAAAGCCAGTAAAAGAGATTAAGAACTGTAATTTCATTTGGACAAGCACTGACATCCACTTAGTTGGTACTCTGGGAAAACTTCTGAAGTACTCATATTTGGGCTGGGCCTTGGAGATTAAAATCCTCTGTTCTTTGGCAAAGCATGTTATCTCCACAGCTACTGGGCTGCACGCACAGCTCTTGCCAAGACTCTGGTCATGTTGTCTGGGGCTTTCTGCTGGGGATGATACTCCCATCACTTTCATTTGATCTTGCGAATAAACCCTTGTCTTCATTGAGGTTTTCTGTTATTGTTGAGCTCTTCCTTCACCTTTGTATCCTGCCTGAGGTTGCATTTTTGTTTTGTTGCCCTTTCCTTTCCTCAGGGGAAAATTCTTACGTACTGAAAAAGGCCAGCGTGTTCCCCAGGAATTAATTTAACTTCTACATTTTGAAAGTGAGGCTGTTTCACAGTAGTCAGAGTTGATAAACCCCAGCAGATTCCAGCATCTCTTCGGTGTGTTGTAACTGAAAAAAATCTCACTGTACTACTAAAATCCCTCTCATGGTGAAAAACTAGACTTGAGTTGTACCAGACCATGCAAAAGCAATTTGAAAATAAATGAAGCATTACTGATTCAGTGATGACTATGATTAACAAAAAAATTTAAAGTGACAGCTTCCAATGGGCTGATCTATAACTCTCATGCTTTTTTATTTCAACAGATCATAAAGACCAAAAATGTGTCCATCATATAATCTAAAATAACGTCCAAAATGTAATTTAGTTTGTTCTTTGTGACAAGTGATGATAATGAGGGTTTGCTCTCTTATTTTTTTACTGTGGCTCTTCTTCAGTTTTTACTTTAAAACCTAGCAAGTGTTAAAGTGATGTTGCATGGAAATTTATAGGGGTTTTATGTATAAAATGGCAAAGATGGAATATCAGTCCCTAATTAAAGGGTTAAAGTCCTGTTAGAATTATCAAAACATCTTCCATCCAGGATTAGATTCTGTACTAGGAGTTTCAGAGAAAGGCAGTATTGTAGGTACTATAGCAACAACTAAGTTATGCTTCAGACACTGTCTCCAACTGCTGTGGAATTTTAGCAGCCTTGACCATCAAGAGGGGACACTATAAACAAACACATGCCAAAAAAGCACCAGAAATAAAACCGCATACCAAGCATTCTTCCTGACGACTTCTACTGACAGCACAAACATCTACTCTCAGTGTCTTCTGCAGCAGTGTTACTTGAGAAATGGCTACTCTGAATATCTCGTTGAATAAAATGGTTTCCATGGCAGGATGAACTTTAGTGCGGAACAGACAGCTGATATCAGTGGAGGATGGAAGGACTGCTACTCTAATATACCTGCCAGAAACAAAACAAAATCTTTACCTCTGTTTAAACTGGCACTTGCTGGTGATGCATGAGAGAAGTTCACCTCGTCAACTTAAGGACTGCATAGCAACAAAATGGAACAGTAACTTATCAGTGGAATGGAAAAGAGATGACAAAGATGAGTGAAGAGCTCCTCTTGTCCCTTGCAGAAACATTTCCCAAAAAGGAATTTTTATACCTAGTAATGTAGTAGTACCTAGAGAAGTAGCAGTTTCTGACTCTATCCAAGTTTAGTACTGGAAACAATGAAGATCATGTCACAGGTGGGAGGAAACATGTCCTTAATGTTAATTTAAAAAAATGAGAAAAAATGAGGCGGATGCAAAAATTAAATTCTTAGAATAATGCAAGCAGCACTGAAAATCAGTGATGTATTTTAATCTTTTAAGGAAACAAATCAAACAACATTTCCAAAGAAAGCAGAAAACTAAGGAAAGCAATGAAGAAAATAGCTAGGGCCATAGCTGCTAAAGATCAATTCATAACATATTAAATGAAATATGGAAGAATGCATCTTGCAAGTCTAAATTAAAGCACAGAGAACAACTTGAAATTGTTACAAGACTGCATTAGTTTTACACAACCAGTAGGAATGGATATTATGTGCATAAAAGCTGTACTAGCTAACTTGCATGTCCCACTTTAGCAGCAGCTTGACAGAAAAAAGACATTTTTAATGCAATTTGTATGTGCTATTTACAAATTGCACAGGTTCTCATACACAAAAATGAGCATAGTAATAGTTGTACATCTTTTCTGATGTAGATGCCTACTCTGATCTAGCTTTATGTTACTGAACATCTTTTTGCTGTTCTACATTATCTACTTTTCCTCCCACCTGTGTCAATTTTTTCTTCTATAGTTTTTCTGTTTTCTTGTGCTAAATGTTAGTGGACTTGGAAGGTCAGCAGAGGAAAGACTAGTTCACAGAAGGAAGGATAGTAGTAGAACAACCATTTGTTATCAACAAAAACAAACAGAAAAATCCAGCAAGCACTCAGGCCTCTATCCTTAATGCATCCTTTCCAACCCAGTGGCTCCCTATTTATCTGCCAATCAAATTTAAGGCAATGGGATAAAAAGGGGAAAGAACTGGCATGAAAAACAAACTTTTCAAGGATTGATTATACTACTTCAATCTTATTAAGCTTTTCAACTGTTTGTGGTCTTAGAGTCTGTCAAAAAGCTTGCTCAAGTACAAGTATCCCCAAGACAATTAGTACTTATTTATACAGATGAGAATTTTGGATTAGAAACTCAGTGGTAACATATTCAGGCTTTTCTGTTCATTTTCTACACATGATTTACACTGTAATTTACTTTTAGACTTTGCATGTTGGTCCAATTTGACTCAAGAACTAATTCTTAGCAGACCTCCAAGCTCTAGTTGTTAGGGATGGTGTATCTCAACGTGACTGTGCTTGTCCACTTGCAATTTATTAAATTACCCCCTTCCTTTAAAAGCTCACTTAAAAGACAAATACTGCTTTAAATACTGTTTTACATCAAAAAGGCACATAAATATAAAAAGACAACATTATGAGCTGAAAGGATGCCAAAGTATCAAAATAATGTTTTTAGTAACTAGAGCATAACTGTTTCACACTCACAAAGATAGAATGTTTAGCAGTAGATAAAATACCATTTTAAAATAGTTTTTATTCCAGTTTAATGGAATGTGCAAATTTCCTGATAACATCTCATTCTTGCAGCATTGCTGTAATATGCAAAAGCTAAATACTACAACAGTTTGAAAAGTTTAATACACATTTCAGTGCTTTTAAGCCATAAATCGACCGATTCCTTTAGAGAATTTTAAAGATTTCTTATTATCCTCTTACATTTTAACACTACTTCTCAGTGATTGTTTGACTTACAACTTAGAGCCGAGGGGGACAGAAAACGCTGGAAGGTTTCTAAGCCGTACTATGATTATCACGAAACTTGAATTGCTGTGGTCATATCTGTTAAAGAAAGGACAATACAAGGGGAATTTACTATTTACATTTATGGATCAACAGAAATATTCCCTTTGCTGGTCACTCACCTGAGTCCTATTTGTACCTGAGCAGCCTCTAGAATTGTTGTATCATCTTCACTATATACAACGTCCTCAGTTTCGTTTGATCTAGGAAAACCAGGCAAATACTCAAATTTTGGAAAATTATAGCTAGCTTTCAGTAATTATTAAGATATGCATACACAGAACATATATCCATTCTCCTAAACATTCTGATTTAATTACAGCATGCACTCCAAATAAGAATTTCAGAGCCTATACAACAACAGTGCTTGTTTTAGGGACAGTTGCTGCTGGAATAGTTTAACAACTGCAGCAATGATTCAGAAAGGCCTGAGGCTGATTACTGAAGATTACAGGCAATACTATATAAATTAGTATGCAGAATCCTATAGAAGTTGTTGGGTCAAAAGTAACAGCAAATATATTTCTTATATCCTGATCACTGCAGTGAACATTAAGCCTCAACCTAGATTATTTTAATACCAATATTACAACAGAGTTTTTTCTTGTCTTTTCTATAACCTCTTTTTAAAAATAAAAACATTCCAAAAATTGCTATGCAATCATAAAAATCCTTAACAAAACAAGAAGTAAAAACCGTAACTGAGTATTGTCAATAGAGTCACATGGCAGAACTTTCATAGTTTAAATCAAACTTTTCTCTTGAGAACATTTCTAGCAAGAAAAAACCCCAAGATTATAAGGAAGTATATTAATGCTATTCAACCAAGTTATACAAGCACAAAAAAAAATAACCCAAATCAAACTTCATTGTTTGGCAAATACACCTTCCTTTCCGTCTGAAAGTACAAATTATTTCTAAAAAGGGCAGGGCTAATTAACAACTTCTGCTCGTACTGTGTAACTGATCATAGATATATTTAGATTTTTGGTGGAAAGCCTTGCATGATTTCTCAAACCTACTGTTTCAGAGAAGCTTCATATACACCACTATCTCCAGCTACAGACTCATCAGACACAGCAGCAGATACACAAGCTGTTTTCTCCTCAAGCAGATGACCAGCTGTTCTTCTTGGTAAATCACCGCCTACAAAAAGGAAAAAGAATGAAAATTAGTCCAAGAGATTAACAGTCAGAAAGAGAGATGAGCATCGCTTAGAAAGTTGTCAAGTTGAAAGCAGTGACCCTTAGCTGAGTATCACAGAGTAGTTTTGTTCCATATCATTAAACATTCTGAGACTGTACTGCTGCTACCACATATTCTGGCTACAGATATAACTAGACTGATGAACTTGAAAATGTACTATTATTCCTTCCCAGAGACACAGACTCCTATGATCACCCTTATGCACGGAGCTAGTTATTATCCTTAATTATCAACCCTCATTTTCCTGATCTTTAAACCAGTATTTGCCATGTTCACATTCAGCACTGTGGTAACACTGCAGCTACATGCCAAGTGCTTGCCTACTGTTTATTAAATATTCAAAAGTCAGACAGACATCCTCTCCCCAGTGATATAACTGCTAGAAATAAAATCCTTTCTGGTTTACTATCATCAAAAACTTTCTATGCTACAGGCTCTCAATGACTACTTAGCTTTAATCTTCAACTTGCATTCATATGCGAGTGTCATGCCGTGAAGCCACATTCTGCAGCACAGTAAGCTGAGGGCCTACGCAGTCCTTTTATCTGCCAAGGGGTGAGGATATTGGTATGCATTATCATCCCCATCGGAATCATGACTTTACATCCTGTTAAGATGTTAGAATTTAAGGCTCTAGATTAGATGATTGATTGCTGCATTTGTGCCTTTATTTATGGCAGTAGGAATGCTTTTTCCTTGATGATGAAGTGCTCTTTCCCTTCCCCCTCACCGTGTGAGAGGTGAAGGTGATGACATGATTTATTGATTACCCTTAGGAATTACAACGGCAGCCTGAATTGACTTTGACAATGACAGAGACTGACTGTGAAAGAACTACAAGATATTCCAACTTGGTTTCTGACAGCAGGGACATGTGCTGAGGAGCAAATATCTCTATGGTTCACCTGTACAGAAAAGTCAGAGACAGCCAGAGAGGCAGGTGAACACAGCATCTAGAGAGCCAGTGCAGATTACATGGCGATAGGAGCTGTACTACCTTTGAGTCTTTGTCTATTCTCAAGTTAAGGTTCAGCAGAATTCAGATCTGTAGTCCAGTAAAAACCTAAGGGCTGAAATTTTTTATGTAGGTTTAGTGCCTCTGGCTGAGTTTGTTCAAACCTTCCCATTCAGCATCACAGCAGTTTTAAGAATGATATTGGAATAGAAACACTGAACAAACCCCAGGTCTGTATCTCACAGTTAATTACTGAAGTCTCACCATGAGGCCCATTTTACTGTGGAAACCAGAGGTATTGAAGTGTAATTAGCTAATATCTGACTATTCAAAATTCAAATTCTTGTTTTGGCAGCCTTAATACAAGTTTAAAGACAAATTGTATTATGCATATGGTGCTACATAAGGAAGTATCAGTATGAAGAGTCACAGAATTAATTTACATTTTAAAACCATAATTACTTATATAGACTTAAAAGGCAACCTGACAATATCCAGAATAAGAGATCCTCAAAAAGTTAAAAAAATGTCAGAGAACCACAAAATGCTTTTGAAAATAATGATCTATAGAAATACTTTTTTTTAAAAAGTTCTGATTCCACATAGCCCAAAGTGTTCCCAAATTCCAAGTCATTTTGAATTCAGTTCTCTGACTATGTAAGCTGCAGCCAGATTGAAAAGACAGACTGAAAATTGTTGTTACTTTGGAAAGGATATGCTGTTGTAATACAGGCAGGAAAATTAATTATTGTTTCAATGTTTTATAATATGGCTCTAAAGTAAAATAAATACTGTGCTATACTGTTGTGAAAAGACAAAGGGCAAAAAGACTCCCTCCCCAAATTCCCTTTCCATGTTTCTTCAACTTTGCATTTCACAGGTTCAGACCTTTAGGATATCAGACAATTTCTTATTTTCCTTCTGCACAGTGAAACAGAGTGGGGCCTTCCTAAGCACACCATTCTCTTCTGGTGCCACATTGCTCTGGCCAACATTGAAATTACCACAGTACTGCATGCAGTAAGCTAATCTAATTATACAACAGATGTTACAACAATTCCTTGCGAGAATTAAAAAAAATAAAAGCCATTTTCTCATTCAAGTATATAACTGTATGAATATGACAAGGTGCTTTTATTAAAAGTTGGAAAACTCCAAGCAGAAGGGTTCAAACTTGGTAACAAATCAGGACAATGCTCAAGAGCTAGGCCATACTTATTCTAAAACACCGAACTCCTTAATTAGCTGCTTCCCTACCAGCTCAGAAATACAGTTGGAAATGCCAGGTACTGACCAGGTTTCAAATAGGGCTGCCAGTGCTCAGCACTACTGGAAATCTGTCTCACTCAGTTCTTCCTTGAGAAAACAGAGTGTAACATAAACAGGAATGGTTTGTAACATACTTGAAGACAATGACACGAATGACACTAGAAATGAATAAATGTGCAGAGACAGTACAACATACTGTCAGCCCTAATAAAAGGCAGAAAAGTGAGCACTCTAAGACTGAGCACAAACCATCAATTCTTGACAGGTGGAATTTTTGAAATTCTAGCTCTGACAAAGGTTTTGACAATATAAGATAATTTAGTATGTTGCATGGTTTTTGCTACAGACCAGAAGTGGAATTCATCACACCTAATTCAGCCACCTCAAAGTTAAAGTTAACTAGTAACTGAGGATACCTTCATAACTCACAGTCATTCATCCCTTCTTCCTTAAAGGGAAGTATGCTTTAGGACAAGATGCCTCATTCTTTTGGAAGTTACCCACAGACTGCAGGGGGAGTGTAGACTCACTTAGGAACTCTGTTCTAACTTGCATAGAAAGCTAAAAGCTGGGAAATCCATGTTAAAAATGGGGAAACTCCCACTGTAACTTATGAGGCATGTAGTCACCTGTCTTTCTCAATTCAAAATGAACTGCAGATCTTTCAGTGACAACACTCAAATAATTAGATACACATAATTCTCAATCCAGAAGTCTCTTTTACTGAGGATGTCAGTTTGTAACTTTTCAATAAGAAACAAAGTATCTGATTTCAAGTTATCAGAAAACCAGCAGAGGGTATTTGCTCCATATCCATACATCCTGATAAAACCTAGGAACACCACGTGTCCTCCATGCTTCCAAAATCCAGATTCAGGTTTTCATGACAGACTGCAATACATGAACTTACTTCCTAAAATAGCTATTGAAAAATGTGGACAGAATCAGAGTGATTGCAGCTCTCTGCTGCCAGAACTAGAAGTTAGGTAACATCCCTCAGAACATGCAAGCACATGCTGATCAAGATACTCTTCAGTTACACAAGGTACCTCCTCATTTCAAGAGCCAGCTGTTCATTTTCATGTTGTGTATGCATTTGACATAAGATTTTTTTATTATTTTTTTTAATTACCTGAACTTCCTTCATGTAGAGAAGGCTGCCTAACGTTTAGATCTTTATCATCTGTAGGAATCTGAGATCCTGCTCTGGCTTCAGAGTCCAGTAATATTTGGTTCTCACAGAAGCTAATGCCTGCAAAATCACCTGAAAGGTCAGAGTCTTCAAAGTCTGTAGTGAGATGATGCAGAGGGGAATTTTGAGCTGAAAATGCAGCTTCTAAAACTAAAGGGGAGCCTGGGGGGGACAAGGAGGAGAGTGAGGATCTGGAAGACAGTGATGTCACAGATTTGGGAGGTTCAGTCAATTTGGGATGGTCTGCAGCTGAAGGAGAGTCACTGTAACCAAGTCTCCCATGGGAGCTGACCACTTCATTTTCATGAATAGTAGTGATAGGTCCCGAAGGAATGTAACCAGTTTTTTCTTGTAATATGAAATCAAGTTTGTACTGATAGTCCAAATCTGTAATTTGATCGCCTTGGTTATAGTAGAGATCCGTGGAGCTGAGCGAGTTTAGCGACCCTCTGCTTGATGTGTTCAGAGATCCCCGGCTGGATGCCAGGGATCCCAAACTGCTCCCTGAAGACACAGACAGCGTACTAGCTGAGAGGCTGCAAAGAAAGCACAAACATACTGATGGTTACTAACTAAACCAGCACAAAACAGAATGAAGAGAGGGAAGTTTGTCTGAAACTACCTTGTAACAGATCACAACCAAAAGCTGCTTGGGGCATTTATGTTTTTAAGCACCTATACCTGGTTTAGCTCAGTGTGCCCATCCTGCGTACTACCAGGGAAATTTATCCAGCTTATGGCCACCTGCCTAAACCCCTTTTCTTCTGGAGAAGGCTGCAGATTTGACAAACTGGTCTGGCAGTAACAGAAGCCTTCTCCACTGTTATATCCCATTGGAAACCTGCTCCACTCTGATGTGGGTGCTCGTGTGGTCAATGTGACAGCACAGGGATCCCCAAGATAGAGCTTATGACAGCAGAGGAGTGTTGCCACTTCTAGAGCAATTCATGCAGCCTACCCTATGCCCAAGCATCTGGGAAAGATGCCAGATAGACAACTTATAGCAGAACTGCTTCCCATATGTGTGGCAACACACACTCCACATGCACAGTAAATCCAACTGTATAAATTATGGCAAAGGCTGTAACATGCAATATTGTCCTATTAATAACAGGAGACAGAGAGTCCTGCCAGGCCAGAGTGAGTGTCACTGCCTTGGCTCTGGAGAACTGCTGGGAAAAAATGTCAGGAAAAATAATTGAAGCAGGCTCTTCTAAACACTTAAAATATATTTACTGAACAATGACAGAACTATCAACTTGGAAAATTTGCAGAAATTATTAAATACACCAGGTTTTCATGGTGACAAAATGCTTGAAGCTATTACACTTGCATTTTCTTACTTAAATAAATTTTGCTGAGCTTTCTGCTACGAGAAAACCCTAAGAATTAAGTTGAGACATCCAGGTCCAGTACAAAACAGGTTTTACAACATGCAGTACAGTCTCACCTCCTAAGCTGTGAATGCAAATAGGTAGTTAACTTTGTCGTTTCTTCAAGTTTCTGTACCAACTCTTTTCTTCTCTCCTCCAATTTTAATCTGCAAAAAGATGGACATATTAGTTCAGGAAAGCATTACAGAATAGGCTAGAACATTTTATAGATAAAAAAAGAAATGAAATCAAGATCCCTCTTTTTTTATCAGGTTGCCGGTGACTAAAATCCAAAATACTGTGTTAGCTCTCGGTCTGATCGTAAAACCCCAACTGCTTCAGCAGAGTGACTTTAACTGCAGAATACCAAGCACTCTAACAAACCTGCTGAGTGTGCAAGCAAGCACAGGGCTGGGACATTCACACTGTACAAGGGGAACATGCACCCAATAGAAGAGTAACAGAATAGAAGAGTAACAGATGAGGACTGTGAAAATAGCTACAACTTCAGGATAATAAGATCTGCATTCATACAGTTTTTAAAAGCCATGCTGCAGACTTCCTCCTCACTCAATATAGTTCCAGGGGGAAAAAAAAGGCAACCAACAAAACCAGGAAAAAAACCACCAAAACAAAGAAACAAACCTAAAGAACACTAATACCAGTAATGCCAGTATCAGTTTTGATATTGTGAAGTTTAAAATCAAAGCACTCCCTTTAATTTCAGAATCTTTATATAAAGCACAGCAAATCAAAGCAGTGAAAGGTTCTGAGATTATAGACCATATTTAGGAGTCCTTGGTAAAGATTTCTACATTCCTAACAGCTTTGTCAGCACCTCAGTGCCACAAAGCATTGTAATGCTCATCAACAAGTTCACCTTTACGAGAAAGCAGGATTTATTGCCTCCTGCTTTGCTATCGAGCACAGCTCTAAAGCCACAAAATGGGGAACTCTCCTATTCCTCTTGGATAGGAGAAATTATCCACTAACCTTTAGAGTGATTTTCCCCCCCTTTTAATTCCCTTTTATCACTCCATTTACACTAAATAAATTGCTTTCTCTCAGTGGATTCAGCTCAAATCCTCCTGTAGTTGTGGATTACTATATTTTTCTCTAGGCCTTGCTCAGTCAACTGATACATGTCACAAGTTCTCAAGCAACTAATCTGAGAAACAAGAAACATCAACCATTGCTTTCTTACACAGAGTGAATTAACTAAATTAGGTACTCAAGAGTGCCGAGAATTCACTCCCTTTGAACATCAGATACCAGCAAAAAGGTAAGTCCCTGATTCAGCAAGGCATGAAAAGCACTTGCTTACACTCATGCTAATTCAGTAAGCAAATCTGGGTTATGCAAAGGTGAATAAGTTACCCTGGGGTGAGCCAGGGTGTGACTTCCACTCCACTGCCCACGGTACATGTGCTCTCACACTACAGTGATGTGTTCATCTGCCAATACCTGCTAAGGCTGTTAAAAGCACACACAGTATTTCATTCTTCGCTCAGGAAGACATACACACAGGTTTCCACACCAGGAATTATGTTCATCTATAGTATCAGACACTCTTCCCTATCATTTTACTATTTATCAATGCCTTCTGTCTTATTTTGAAGCCTAATCTATCCTGCTTTTCCCAAGCAAGAGTGCTCTTCACTAGCTCTTTTGTGGCTTCCCAGTAATGAAGTATGATTTTTTTCTCAAGGAAGAGGCATAGAAATAGCTCTGTGTTCAACTACTAATGGTAAAAACAAGAAAAAAATAAAAGCTTAGTAATTTCTCTGACTGAAGTCCTCCAAAGACACACTTACAACCACCTTGAGAGAGACACTATAGCAACAGTATTTGTACTACTGAACTAACAGGTTTCATTGGTTTTTCTCTCAAAAGCACAATTAACAGTTTGCTTTCTTTTACTGTCTAAAGGAGGTTGATAAACATAATTTATCTTTTATAATTTAGCACCTGAAAAAAAATTCATTCCTGGAAGTAATTTGATCTACTAGTAATTAAATACAATTGTTAATACCTGCAGGCTAATGTCAGAAAGATGCTAGTCACAAATCACAAATACAAGCCAAGTGATGAATCACTTGTGGAAGTTTGAGGAAATGCAGGAAGTAATTTTATTGTCTCACAACAAATTGAGATTCAGGGAAAGTTTTTTCATTCTACATCAGGCCAAATGGGAAAAAACCTAACAACCCCACCTCCAAAACTTTCAGACAATGAACTTTCCCTCTTTATAGCACAAGCAGGAATTATAATATCCAAAAAAACCCTGTGTAAACACCTAAATAACCATTGTGTTATCTATTCTGACATGGGCTTCTCTCAGTCTCTACTGTTTCCACCACTTCTATTTAAACTACCCTATTATTCCTTGCAGGAGGGACTTCAGTGTTAGTGAGACATCTTTCTCTTTTGGTCTTAAATTGTAACATCACTGAGAGGAGCAGAGGATCTTTAAAGAAAATACATTAAAATTTAAAATGCACATACCTAACCTTTCAGTGCAAACTCGGGTGGACGTGTTCGTGACAGGCACAAGAGCAGGTGCCAGTTTTGCAGACAACAGCACAATCAAGTATTTAAATCATGGACCTGTTCAATTGGCTGTGTTTACTTGGGAGATACTGCCAAGGATTAAAGCAATAATGGAACTCAGAGGTAAAAAAGTAGCAAGTAGTACTCACCAGTTCCACAATCCACTTATTTCTACACAGTTGCTTTGAGGCTTCTTAAAGCAGTCAGAGTACGCCCTGTCTCTGCCTTTTTGAAGTTGATATGTTATGATCTACACCCTCCTTCTGTAAATTGAATCCACGTACATCTACTAGTGGCAATTTCAGCATCCTGCTCCAAAATAACCCAGGGCTATGTTTTTGTTTTAAGTCAGATGTTTTTGTTTTAAGTCAGAGCACGTCTCCTGTTTCTTTTCCCTTTAGAAATAATAAAAATCAAACCAAATGAAAGAACCCTCCTTGCATTGAGCTCTGGTACAATCCACAGCTTCTTATGCTGCTGCTTCATTATCAGTACTTGTGAAAACTCTGAAAACTGAAAGCATTCATGAAACCTCGTACACGAAAATGGTAATGCAACAATGATAAAATATTTTGAAGATGGCATGGCTCCTCCACTGGTAATAGAGAGGAGAATCTCCCTCATCTTCAAGAAAAAAAATCCTGCTGACTGATCTGATATAATTAAATGTATTTTTTAAAAATTAACATTTCAGAAAAAGTTTCATCATCTGAATCTTTCTGAAAAAGAAGATTTACTTTTTGTTTATAGTAGGCAAACAAGAAATAATCCTCAAAATAGCCTCATGTGAAAGAATTTATGTGCTCTGAAGTCACCAAAGGAGACAGTTTTAATATAAGCAGTTGAAACTAGAAATTCACAGGAGATTTCCTGGAATAACAAAAAAGTAACCCAGAAGCCACCGTAACTGCTACCTCAATCAGCAGTGCACAACATAGCTTACATTAACCTCAGGGAAAAAAAAGCCCTAACACTCCATATTTTCAGGATTAAAAATAAAAGGAAAAAAGTTTGAGGAAAAGAGAGGGAGAAAAAGGAAGCTCTAACAACTCATTCTGTCAGTATACATGGAAAATTCATTTCTTCTTGACAATGGGGGACAATTTTACTTGGCCTTGGTACTCCAAGTTTGGCATCTGACATATATGGGAGAACAGTCAGGTGCAGAACCTACTCTGCCACTAAAGCAAATCCAAACCACAAGATTCAGACACCAGGTACCTATTTATAGCTTGAGTCAAGATTTAGCTATACAACAGCATATTATCAAAATCTTAGATTCAAATTACTTCTTTGTGAATGAGATTTTATTACTGACCCCTTATTATCCATGTATTAATGGGAGTCAAAGAGCAACAGATCCATGGTACTTTATGCATTACTAACACAGACAAGTAGCTTCTCCTGTGAAAATATAGTCCCCTTCATCTAAAACGTATTTGAATTATTAATATAATGCAGTTGAAACTATTATAAAACGTAAAAATGTTTAAAAAATGTATCTTTCTTAATACACACATTTGTACTTTGTCAACAAAAGAACTTCCTTGTTACTCAGCTACAATTTAGGACTCAGCTTCTAATCCTATAACAGGAATTTGGCCATATAGTACACTGGAGCAACAGCAGATGTTTCCTAGTAGAGGGAAGTAAGAAAGCCCCACAATGCTGATTGCATCACTTCAGTAAGGCATACTACAGTGATACACACAAGGACATTTTGTGCTTATTGCATTTTATGTGGGCTAGAGGTGCCCCTAAATTTATTTCCACTTAGAGCTGATGAAAAGTACATCTGGGACAGTCAGCTTTGATTTTCTCAGACTCTGAATATGGCTAAAAACAATTTATTGTGAGAGCAGCTTCACTTACTATTTGGGTAGCAGCAAGTTAGGAAAGTTTTGCAGCAACTATCCTTCTCATCTGAACTTTTTGGGGTTTTCCCGTTTTTGGTTGCATTTTTGTGTGTAATAAAACTCACAATGAAAGGCTTCAGATGTTGCAACAATCATGATAATCTTTGTAACCTGAGTTCAAACAGTTTACAGCTATTATCAGAAACGAGTGAATGATGTATTGCCTTCCTGCTGCTGTGTTGACATTCCTCAGTTATTTAACATCTGTCACAGGCATTTTCATGCTGGTAACAAATGCAGAGCAACTGATACTGCAGAGCAGATACAGGGTGTTCACATTCCTCACAGTACTGAAGACTTCTTTGTTTTTCTGCCCATTGGGCTAATAACGAATTTAATTAAGATCTACATATAACAGTCACTGAAGGAAAACAGCCCATCAAGGTATAGGTCAGGGTCTGCAATGAGTACAAAGGTTAGATTGCAGAAAGCAGCATTAAATATTAGCAAAAGGCAACCCCTTACCTTTCAGCAAGTGCTTGACTGGGTGTGCTTTTCACAGACACCAACTCGTCCTCAAGCCTCTTCCTTTCTGCTTCTAGCTGCTCTAGCTCATCTTGAGTACGTTTGCGTGGTGTAATAAACTGGAGCTCCTTTAGAAGCTCTTCTTTTTCATTGATTAACATCAGTTTTTCCTTTTCCACATCCAGTGCTCCAGGCCAGGCTTCACTATCTAGCTTAGAGAGTTCAATCTTCAAATTAGCCATGCTAAAATAAAACAAAGCAGATTCACCTGAGTCCAGCACAGCACACAAAGCCCAGGAAAGAGAGAAGTGATACAATATTTTGAAACATATCAGGATATAACAACATTTTATACTCAAGGTCCTACTTCTCCTTTTGTTTCACTAGAACGAAGACTATGCCAGAGAATCAGGCCACATATCTAGGCAATATGTATATGCATTAAAAATTAGCTGCTCCTATTCCAGTTCAAGTAGAAGTCACAACGTTACTAAAAGCTTTTTTGGGAGCAATCTGTCGGTAGCATAGCAGTGGCAGCATGCTTTACTCATTCACGAGTATGATAGATTTCTCCTGTGCTGTGGGAGACCGACAGCTCCTCAGAAACAGACATGGCCATGGTAAAAGAATGTGCACCACAGCAAGGCGCTCACTTCAGCAAATCTTAAGACAAAAGCATTGCTCTCCTATGCAATTAAAGAAAAAGGCAATACAACAGCAGCTACCTAAGGAGAAAAGAGATGAACTCAACAGTTTGACTTTGTGCAACTGCTGTTCCATTGCAGTAGGGGGGGATCAAGACCACCAAAGCTCCTGAAGCCCTCAACACATTTCTGGAAGGGTCTGGAAGTACAGACTGCTCGTGATAGCTAGTTTGCATAGAAAGCAAGAAACGTAACTCCAGGGCAAGAAAAGCTTGGCTATAAAATCAGGTACCCCCACGGGTGTCCCAGGACCCTGGACGCCTCATCAGATGGATCCATGCTGGAGCCAGGATTGGTGATGTTTGTTTGCTTCTTTGCTCTCTTCTTTTCTCTCCCTTTCCGATTTCATCCTACCCCCTATTCAAAATCCATCATCACTTGTTTATACTCTTTGACTTATGTCATTCCTTATTGACCATGGGCATCTATGACTCTTGGGTATTCCTTTCCCCTTAAGAGTGGGATGCCACAACAGGCCAAAAAGGAGTATTAGCCAGATCTTCACCATATCAAGATAGGAGTGTCAGCATGTTGTATCAGATCCTTTTGAATAACAATTGCAACTGAATTCAGCGTAGTTATGAACGCTCCACCTCTTCAAGACATTCTGCTGGCTAAGCAATGTCAAATCTGCAATGTACAAAATTATCTGATATTTTTTCAAGTAGAAATGTTCACTTACAAGATCCTCTCTTCATCTTAGCTATTTTACCACAAAATAATCAAGAATTTGTACATACATTATTTCAGAGAAGATCAACACTTTTTAAATTACTGTGGTGGTTACAGTGGCCACAATACTTGGGGGAAGGGTATAATTAGATACTGAACTTCATGTGCAAACTGGTATGTATCTTCATTATTCCAAGTTACATGCACTGAAATTTCAACCCACGTTCTTGGCTAAGTAATTTGTGAGAAAGAAAGATCCTGTGCTGCAGTTCTCCATACTCTGAGCACTGTACTGTTTCTCACTTTTTCTCTTTTCCCCCACCCCAAGACAGAAGTGGCAAACTGACTTACTTCAAGGAAGTTTCTGTCCTTACAAAATAAAGATAAAATGCCATGCTGGGACTTCTTGGTATCAAGACACAGCCAAAACAGAGGGTGAACAGGTTTTGGATCAATTATGCCTGAGAAACAATGCCACCTACCTGCATGTGAGTTACCACCTGACAAGATTATATACGTGATGATTCTGAGCCAAAATCATACACGTTCAATATTAAACAAACACAATAGCCTTTATTAGAACAATAGGTGTTCTTTGATGAGTGCATTGAGCATACAATGGGGTTTTATGATCCATGATGAACTGATAAAGGATTGCTGTTGTTACTGGTAAGGACAGTAGATACTGCAGGAGAAAGTATATATTTGAAATTAGGCAAAAAAAAAACCATTCATGCAGACTCCTGCTTTTAAAACCTAAAAACAACTAAGCTGTTACTTGGTACTTCTAAGTTGAAAATTTATTTTTGTGTTTTTTCAAATGCTCATGCTGGTGTTTTCCAACTGAAATAATATTTAAATCTCAGATTAAATAGCATTCTAGGCACAGTTTTCATCTGGGGAAAAGCCCTATTTTTTAATTTTGTTGCCTTGTTTAGTCCTTCATAGTAAAAAACCCCCAAAACTTGGGTGTGGAATAGTACTTACATTTCTATTCCCCTTAACTTACAATGAACTTCCACAACAAGAACAATAAGGCTTCTGAATAGCTGGCAAATAATTTGCTGACAAGTATCAGAAAATAATACCACACAAGAGTACTATCCCTATAGTAAATCTTCCCCCAGAATTATGCAGCACTTCTGGTACACCAGAAGATGTCATTCAAACCCTGAATGTTCAGCTTCCTGATGCCCATTTTTCAGTGCTGCAGCAATTCATCAAGATGGCACCGCTTTCATGGGCAAGCACCACAGAACTTCATTTGAAAGGCATTCCACACTCATTCAGCAGCTCCTGACGTATTTTCTCCTCACATTAAACTAATGAAAAAAAAGCCAACCCATAGTGATAACAAGTTTTTAAATTATCTAAAGTCCCAAGGGAAAAAAGAAATAATTAAGCCTACTAAATCTGCACTGGCAGTCTGAAGCAACTCTAAAACTGACGAGCCTTCAGTGGTATAGTAAAGTGAAATTATGATCCCAAAGAAGGATATAATGGACATAAATAACCTGGCGACTGCTTTTCCTCAGAAAGCCACCGCACTCTATTCCCTTAATCCTGGAACTGCCACTAATTTGTCAGCGTTTTAATTTTGTTTCACGGCACATCCAGCTTAGCACTAAGGAGCAGCCGCAGCGTTGCCGAGCGCCGCAGCCCCCAGAAGGTACCGCCCGCTGGATGTCGCTGCGAGTACAGCCTTGGAGCCGCGGGCACCGGCAGCTTCCCGGGCACCCGCAGCTTCCCGGGCACCGACAGCTTCCCGGGCACCGACAGCTTCCCGGGCACCGACAGCTTCCCGGGCACCGGCAGCTTCCCGGGCACCGACAGCTTCCCGGGCACCGACAGCTTCCCGGGCACCGGCAGCTTCCCGCATGGTCCCACCGACCCCGTTACCTTCGCTTGGCCTCTTCGTACTGCAGACTGAGTCTGACCTTCTCTGCTAAATTCGATATACTTCTTGCTCCACTCTGTTGAGGGAAAAAACCCCGACCAAACAAAAAAAGTAGCCTCGTTAGTGTGCAAAGTTTTTAAACGAACCAACAAAACCTAGGCAGAAGCTAGAAAAATTACAGCTTAAAGAAAAATAAAACTACCCCCTGCCCCTGCAGCCATTTGCTGTTAAATGCCTAGTTAGATCTCATCTACTCAGCTGTACAAAGCAGTGCTGTTTTCCTCCTTCATACGTTTTTAGCTACTGTACTATCATGTGCTGATATTCCATCACAGGAAAGCCAGAGCCCTTGCAAAGAATTCTTGCAGCAACTGCAAATCGAAAATTCTGATCTCCTACTATGAATTCTGTTAAACTCTGAGTGAATTTCAGTGCATTTCAAAGTTAGACTTTAATAAATTTGTTACAAAACACAGACAAGCTCTTTGCCTGGAAAACCTTGTACCCTTCTCTTTCTTACAAACTTAGCTTGCAGAACTTCAAAGAAGGTATCAAAATTAAACAGCCTTCTGTGTATGTAAAATATAACAGCAGTGAAACAAGGTTTTACTAAATCACTGAACAAGTAATTCCACAGTTTTTCAGCTGTGTGAAATAAAATTGTGCATTTAAATTCTGAGATCCCTTTTCCTGAATTTTTTTTAAAAAAAGTTAATCTTCCTATTTAATGAGGTCTATTAAATGAAAGATATCCTATAGACAGATAAAAAAATACTAGCCACTTCTTCTGATCTTCACTGTACTGGAACCATTTGATTAAATCAGATTGTCATAAATGCTTCATGACAAATGTATAAAGTAAATCTGAATCTTCATGTAATATTCAGGGGTAAAACATCAGAAAAGTAATTCTAGTGTGAGTGATTCTAAGGAATTCTGTGAAATAAATGTACCTATATGCTATCTGCAACACCTAACAGCCATTTGATTCCAATTCCATTAACAGTAGCATTCTCCTCAATTTCTCTTTACACTGGACAAAATGGAAAAAAAGCTCACCTCACCAGAAATGTCAGTCTGAGACCCTGTATCCAGAGTTTGCCTAGGAAAACACAGCTGGGAGTTTACAGAGCTGGAACTCAAGTCTGCTTCAGATGTTTCGGTGGTTTGGTCGACATTGAATTTTTCCCTCAGCTTTGCAAGACTCTGTCCAGGAATTAGAGAAGGAAGTGGCATTAAAGTTCCTTTGCACTTTACCATGTTTATACCAGTTTATCTCCAAAAGATATTTACATAAAAGATTTGGTTTATTTCATATTAAGCAACCCATACTTTTAATCAAGCCATTGGTAGGTGACACTAAGGGTGACCAACACCTGTGAAAAAGTAAAAGCTACTCATTTGGGTTTGTGTCTGTTTTGGGACTTCCTTTGTGTTTTTTAATTTGTCAACCAATTATGAATTTTGCTGAAAAAAAAGAGAAGAAACAAAAAGGAAATCTGCTTTCAGGAATGGAAATAGGACAATTTAGATTAGGAAAACTTTCATTGATTTATGAAATGGTCAGACATCTCAGAATATATCAATTTTGTCCACTTAATATTCTAAATTGTGCTTTAGAGGTAACATATGCATGGTAAATTACATTCAAGTTCCAAAAAAAAAATCTGTGTTCTCTGATACAGAGCAGCTTTTTGAACTAGGAATGTCACAGGCTTCAGTTTCTGCATCTGAAAATTAATTTCAATACCTTTGTTTGAGTTTGGCTCAAAGAGTTTTGAGAATCCTTTTAAAGTATAAAATGCAAAGTATTTATCATCAGGGAAGTGAGTCATGTTAAAACAAATCCACACAAAACTTCCATTAACCAACCAAAATACCTTCATTAAATCTTGCTTTTCTCTCTCGCCTGAACTGATCGCCTTTCTGATGGACTTCAGTTCCTTCAGGATGGCTTTGGCCTCACACAGTTCATACCCACTCTGGCCTCCAGACATTTTTTGGTCAATTCTGTGGAAAGAGAGAATATTAATAGAAGACAGAGAAAATCATACCAGTATCTCTTCTGTTCTACTTCAGGCAGAAGCAGAGTTAGAGAACAGAAGGGAAGGAGGTGAAATATCACTTATTTCAACAGACATGGAAAGGAAAAATGACACTGAAATCTCCATTCAAATGCAATTTAATCCTTGGCAAAAATGTCAAGGAGCACAGAGTTACTGCTGATAATACTCCCATTCCCACCAGAACTCTGCAGCATAAAGCAGCTTTTGGGTACACCTTTCATACTAATAACTGTTTGTGCTCCTTACAGAAGCAGAATTTATTTCAAGTATATCCTTCCACCCAAACCCACACTGGGACATGGGCATACAGGCAGACTTCTTGGTACTGATCAGCCTTTCTGAGCAGAAACATAACCAGCACCATTCTTGTCTCAGCTTCCCTCTAGTTCACCCTAATCCTGGGCATTAACTGTCTGGAACAGCTGTTCTGCTCAGCCAGTCACCAGGCTCTCTTTATTCACAAAATCTCTGGATAATTAATACCATATGTCATAGATTGGACAATTCATTAAATTCCTGAACTACCAATGATTTTAGAAACTGTAACCTGAAAATAATAAAACAAGGCTATGCTAAACTTAGAGATAAAAAGATCATTCATTTTAGTATTTCTGTATTTCCTTCAAGAACTACAGTTTGTAAACACATTTCTCTGGTGTCTAGTTTAACAGAGTATTTCATAGTATCATGGGAATGATTGCAACTGTGCTTCAAAAATTAAAACCAACCAACAGCCATCTTGATAAAAATCAAGCATTTAGTACAAAATACATTCATTTATAATACAATTGGTTTTCTGTTTTTTATCATCATCCACCATCTTTTCTGGAAGTTAACAGCTTTGTGAGTGAGGAGTGAACATATCAGAAGTGACCAACAGCATCCCCAGCAAGAACAGCAATTTGTAAAAAACACCTGTAACTGTATTCTATTTTTCTTCAAGTTTTGGCCACAGAAATATCAAAGTTCTAAAGTAGTCTGTAAAACTGTGAGCATATCTGTTCTCCTTTCCCTGCATTCCAGTTTTTGTACAAACTAAACTGCATTTGTGTAACAAAAATACCTCTGTGACTTGGCAATCATTCCTATTCAAGGACATATTTATTTCAGCTTTAAAATTCCTCAAACTCTTTCATAGGCAGGCACTTACTGTGTGACAACTCTCAATTTTTGGTAACTTACCAGGTTGCTAAGGTCAAATAGATACAGGATACACCAACACTGGGATCATGAATGAACAGTTGGGTAATACACCACATGCTGTCTAGTAACATGACAAGCCACATTCAAATTACAACTGCTTTATTCTGTATATAATTAAGATAGACAAGAAGGATCTCTGATATATAAGATATTCCATCATCCTGTTTTAAATTAATGGGATTAGTACTGTTTGAACGTGGCTGACTGAATTTTAAAAACAAACGTCCATTGTGTTTCTGTGGAATGCTGTTGACAGTTTCTGAAACATGCTTTGGATTCCTATCAAAATGGCTTGCGAGCAAGCTGCTTTAAAACAATACTTCATTGTTGAATTAATATAATAAAACCAGCATGATTGGCTAACCTTTAATCCTGGGACAGCAGTGTGAGTTTTTATTACCTTAAGCTTTGGAATCAATATGTCTTTCTTCTTCTAAATTTTACTACAAATGAGATCTGATTCATGGTTAAATTCAATAAACTATCCTTGCTGGTCTTTATTAATTTAAATAACAGACAAATCTTATATTTCTGTTTTAGTCAAAATAAGGAAGATAGAGACTTAGCTGGCATCTTCCTAATGTGCTGAGGATTGCTTCTGCTACTGGAACTAGTACTAAGAGCAAACAGCTCAGCATTTTACTGTGCAAATGTATGCTTAATGTATGGATTCATACCACAATGTGGAAAACAGCTACCATTAATAAATTTCTCTTCACATTAGTCAAGAAAACACACTTGTTAGCAAGGTTTCCTGTGCAGCAAGTTCTTTATGGTGACAGTTCCAGTAATGTTTAATATTTTAGGGCCTAATTGTGTAAGGCAGGAGCAGCAGGGAGTTCTTAGACTGAAAAAAATTCATTCCCTAGTAATCTAACTGGTTAAATACCCAGAAAGCTCACCCGGTTCAGCATCAGCCCTTTGGACACCAGGCATCCCAGCAACTGGAACAAAGAAAGGCAGGTCTCTAATCCTCAAATTGTGACTAATTTCCAACCCTGCAGAGTTGTGTACCATTCATACCTCCAAGAACAGCACCTTTCTCTTTCTTTTGAGCTCATAGGTGGGGAAGGAGGAAAGAAAGACCTAAGTACCTTTTCAAAAATAAAAAAAAATTAATTTTAATTGGACACACAAAGCAGCTATTTTTGTCCTTAGGACCCCTGACCACTGCCCTTCTGTCTGCCTCTTTGCAACACAAGCTACCCCACGAAAGAAAATGTAAAAGGGGAGACAAATTTCTTATGTTAACACTTGCACAAAATGGCACTTGCCATTTCCACAGATTTCCCATTTCCTAACTATACCAGTTATTAGATTCCCCTTTTCCTCCACAATAATTCTCTCAGATAAAACAGATTCAATTCCATGCCAAAGAAAAGAAATCAGGTGACTGAATTAAGTCAGTTTCTACTATTTTCATTTACTCACTGTTGCAGTGTTTCAAAGCCCTGCTCCTTGTACAGCAGCTCTTGCTTCATCTGAGAGAGTTCTCTCTTCAGCTTCTTAACCTTGTGTGTTAAATCAAAGCAAGAGTTAGAAAATTCCTCTTGTTAAACGATGTAACACATGGCTTTGAACAATTAAAGTGTGCACTATATCAGATGAGAGAAAAAGAGTAAATTGCTCTACTGATACACATTAAAAAAAAAAAGGATCTTATCTCTTCCTGATGTCTATGGGCAACATGCTTTAGTATTAAAGGGACACAAGCAGATTAAATCACATTCCTTATTTGTATTGATATCACACTGTGTTATTAAACCTGAGAGAACGTTAACAAGTAATTTACTTCTCACTTGTTAAGCATGCATTCCAACTGTCCTACAGGGACATGCCTGTTTACTTTTAGTTTTATTATATTTTCACTTTTTAATTCCTAGAAGCTGTTCAGTCATTTGCACTGTAAAAGACAAAATGGACTCTTTTTTTTTCTCTAGGAACCATCCATTCTTATAAAGCTTTACAGATACTGGATCCATAAATACATAATTCACACTTATTTAATCCAAAGACAACAATCACTACAGACATGTGAATCACAAATATTTAATAAAATATTTAATAAAAATGTCTTTGGAAAATAATCCCTACTCTCCCTAAATTTTCATGGTCCGTTTCTTCTTAAACGTAATATTGCTATTTGAGATGTCAGAACATATGAGTGCACTAAAAAATATTTATGAATCAAGATTAAATTTAAAAATCCTTAATTTAATTTTTAATGTCATATTTCCCAAATGTATGAAGCAAAGTTTTACGAACCACCTAAAAATGAATGTACTTAAACACAAATTAATCATCAGCACACCCATAGAGACAAATGCCTCTTTAAAGTGTGGAGTCCAAGATTTTGGTATTTATACATCTACAGCTGGCTTGTTTGCACTCTACATACTAGCCAGATATTGTTAGGCTTTCTAACTTTTCAGTCATTAAGGTGAAAAAAGGAAAAGCTAGAAGTCCACTGCTGTCACCTACCTCTGTAAAATTCTTGCTTGTTTTTAAAAGCTCCTCTGATATTCAACTCTTGAAAAATTATACTAATATCAAGAACTTAGACCACTTTAACTGAAATTAATTTCAAATTATGTCTCCAAGATATTTTGTATCCAAATCCCTTTAGACTTCCTACTTGCTGATATTCTTAAAATAAAAATAATTTTTAAAAAAACCTAAGCAAACAAAAAAACCCAAAAAAACCCCCACAACCAAACAAAAACAACCAACCAAACAAACAGGTATGTTTCCCAGCATGCCAGGTAACAAAAAGCACTCAGCATCAGAAGCTGCTGCAGCTTTCCAGGAGACTTAAAATGCTCTACATTTCTAAAATAACTAGTGATTTACACAGTCTTTGTAGGGGGTTGTGAATGATACTTAGACATTCCAGCTTGCAGTTTCTGGCTAATGTATTTTCTGTGACAGAAATAAAATGCTTTTAATCTCTATTTTCTTCAAAGCAAAACCTGTTCTCTGGATGAGGGGTAATGTTCAGGCTTTTGAAAACTATCATACTATCATCACTAGTTGCTTTACTTGACAGAAAACTGTTTTTATTTAGACCATACTGAATAGTTAGCATGACAAATAGACAATTTCTCTAAGTATACATTCAGTGCTCCTCAGCTATTTTCTCCTTGACTAGTATGAAAACTCCAAGAATAATTTCTCATGTGTTCTGATCAAGGTTAAGGAAAATGAACAGATATCACCTCTGTGTTTCAGTTAAAGTGTTGTGTAAAATCTGAAACAAGTCTGAATTTTTCTGACAAATACAGGATGGCTAAAGCTTTCCCTTTCAAAATCAGAAACATGTATTTACATTAATAGCAGAAGGCATACTTGATTTCAACTTAGAGGATTGGATCTCTCAGAAACCCTTATATTTTTCCTCAAGATCATTCTCTGAGTGTCCTCTGCTGTACTTAATCATCATTTCATTATCAAGAAATGTGAGTTGGGTGCATTATCCTAGAAGGATGTGACCTACATTGAAATATAGCCTCTGTGTTTACTGCATCATCCCTGCATTAAACTATTCTTAGGCTCCTTGTACTCTCCTTCAAAACTTTCATATAATTCCTGCACAGCTCTTTACTTGTTCTAGCATTCGCCCCCTTCCTACTGCTTCTGCACATCACCTTCAGCCACCTGACAGATCTCTCCTTCCTACTCCTAACCACATCTTCAAGCAGGCTCCTGTGTTAACCCCTTTCTTGACACTCGAGTCCTAATGGAACAGAGCCACCCTCCCCAGCCCCTCCACCCCTTGTTATTTTATAAAGGTGCATTTCCTACTCACTTGCTGCATGTGCATAAAACTTACTGTGATCACATATGCTTTGTGCTGTTTGAGTTATCTTGCTGATTGCTAATTAAGACCCCAAATGACCCCACTCAAAGTCTACTGCAGGATACGATCCCTCAATTTTAGTCCAGTGAGAAAAATATTTCTTCTTATTATTTCATTTAACAGGTGTCTGATTTCTGTCATATTTTCTCCGTGACCTATATTGCACAACGGGCAGTTCGTGTATCCAGAAGGCTCCACACGCATATATTACACACAGCTAACAAGGAAAAGGCCAAAGGCCAATTCAGAACTTCCTCAAATGCTGTTTCCCCCCTCCAGCCACCGTTAACCTGATGATACCAGTAAGCCTTAGATGCTGTGACACAGAGAAACAGGTTTAGTACAATTGATCTAACAAAGTGCAAAATCTAAGTAGCTGGCTAGCAGCTTACTAATGACTGTTTCTCATGAAGTCCATGCATGCATAAACTGCAAAATGCCCAAAGCTGGCATATTAGCAAGCAACTTCAAACATTCAAAGAAGGGTAAACTGTGATAATAGCCATACCTCTCTTGCCATCTTCCATGACAAACCACTTTCCAGCCCTATCATCACAGGGTTCCACCTTTTCTTATCTCAGTTTTCATATCCAGTGGCTTTGGATGACCACACACTTTATGCTGATACAGATACTCTTGGACTGCACCCTTCTAAACTCTGCAGACAAGATTCAGGTCACCTATTTTAGGCATATATGCAGGACTATGCAATGCCAACAAATCAGGTGTTGGGAGCCAGCAGGATATTAGGCTCCTTGACTCCAAGAAACAATGAAGAGAGCAAAGCTCCTCCAAAAAGTGAATTACCGTGACAAACACATCTGATTCTCACCTTGGTGAGCAATTTGTAGATCTGCAGTCAATGGTAATGGGAAAAAGTAAGCACAGAACCATGCCTGAATTTTCCCCTCTTGACAAGTAGATGACTATACTTAAATTTCATCATGTGTTTTGTTCTTCAACAACATTGTAAATTTCCTAAATATACTGGTGATTGCCTTGCAAAGGAAACATCTGTTACTGCTCCACTCATTTTAGAAAGAAACTACTGCCTTGTTTCTTCTTTCTTGTTCCTGACAGGGTCCTTACTGGCTTTGATTCCCTCTACTAAGCTTAAAAAAATTTTCTTCCCACCTCCAGCATTCTAATAAGCTCCCTCACTAATCACCATGCTTTAATGGATAAGGGACTACAAATCAAGACTGGTTAGGATGAGCAGGTGTAGTCAGGAGAGTAACATCCAGACATGAGTTTTAGAGTGCATGCCATCCCTGATTTATACTGGGTTTTAAAAGTTGAATGAGCTATTCCAAAGTTCCTCTCAGACATGAACAGTCACAAATAATCACAACTCTTACTCCAGGTGAAGGAAGATGTTACTCTCTGGGGCTTCTATGAGTGTTGCTCTGTACACAAACCAGGAGAGGACAATGGAACAGTTGAGTAGATGCTGTCATTTGCTGCTTCTGCTCTCCTGGAGTCTGTATTCCAGCCCACACAGAAGAACTGTGCTGTGAGGTGCTGTCTTTTTAACCTGCAGGCTTTGATGTAATTTTTTTCATTACTAAATACAGAGAGTGTAGGCTATCCATAAAACATTATATGCCACAACTGAAATAAATTAAATCCCTATAGATATTTTAAATGTCTTCCACACCATTTCTTCCTTATTCAAGATAAATTCACTAGGGACTAGCCTATGAATGAAAGTTCTTTATATGGAGTTTGTTACTGACCGTACTGAACACAGCTGACCAAACCATGGATTTATGTTCATTAGAAATTTCAAAATCCAAACACAAACTTTCATGTTTGATCTGAACTGTTCCATTTTGACATAACAGAGGGGTTTCGCGCCATTATTGAGAAATATTTTTCAAACCAACAGAAACTTCTGAGGCAGTTCCAGCAGCTAATGATGCATTTCTCACAGAAGAAAGGTTGTGTAAAAACAGTTCATCTAGATGCAGCTCACCTTAGCCTACTACTTTTCCATTTTCACTCTTCCATTAGAAAACAAAGGCATACAACTGAAAATAATTATCATATTTATCTAAACCTACATCTAATTAGAATATCTGTCAAAGTTTCCCAAAAAAGTGTTATCTGAAAGCACCAGAGACAGCTTTAAAAATTAACTTTAAACCTCTGAATGGTATCTAATTAGAACATTAGGAGGTTTCAGTACCAGGACAAGATACACCTGCTAGTTCAAGCTATGCTTATTCTATAATCATAGACAGAATCCAGATGAACATGAGTTAAAGACTCTCACCCTTAATCTTGTAGTGGAGATTTCAGCCTTCAGAATGTCAGGGTCATATTTTGTGCTTGATGAAGAGCCTGAAAACACTTTTTAAAAAAAGATAAAATAGACAAATATTTAAATACTTTAAAATCACTAATTAGTCCATTCCTTGATGAATCCACATTGATCAAAACCTTAGAATATGCTCAAAACCATATAATACTTTAAAAGCTAGCCTTTTATAGAGTAGTCATCATTGCAGCATAGCAGTAATTACTGAATAATCAAAATTTTCCCCTTTTTCCCCCTACCACTACCTTTCATTACATCTCTCCCTCATTTATTTATCCCAGGATCCTTAGGTAGAACCTCATTCTCCCTGGCTTTTTTCCGTGCTCTCTGCTCCTATTCCTCTAGCTGGGACATCTTGCAATCACTTCCTTCCTGAGAAGTGTAATTTTTAAGGAGATCTCAGGAAAGCAGAAGATTTATTCAGAAGTCTCAGAGATCTGGCACTCAGTTCTTCCACAGATGCACATGCTCTTTTCATACACTGTCTACTTCTAAGAGAGGTGTTTGGCCAATAACAAGCTTTGACAGTGCCTTTCCAGATGCCCATTCCCTGCCCAAGGTAACAACCTGTATCTCTACTCCATCCCTGGTCACAGAACATAGGCTACAAAATTACTGTCTTCTCTTCCTATAAATCAGAGGCACATTCCCTTCTTGGTCTATTGCAGACACCTGTCAACACTGAAGGGTCAATTCAGCAGGCAGCCAGGAAGGCAAGAGATCCTATTCACTTTGAACATAGATTTGGCATAATTTTGCCTCAACAAACCGCATGACAAAATAGATTTCAGAGCCAACTGTTCTAAATCATGGCTCAAAGGAGTTCAATTGTATCAAAGAGAGGAGGATTCTCTCCAGCAGAATATCTTTGTCTTAAATAAATAAATAATCTAGGGATGCTAACTCTAAAAAAGCCAGAGCACAAGGTGTTCCTAGCAAACCTTGAAAACTTATCCTAAAGAGAAACAGGATCCCCTGCAAGGCAGAGATCAAAGAAGTTACATTGTATTCTCTACTGTACTTACAGCTTGTACGAGAGCTTGATTTTTCTTTGTAGGCACCATTCAACCGTACATACTCATCCAGTGCAAGTGCTAGTCTCTGTTCTTTCACCTGGTACAGCTCCTTCTGGGTACTGAGAGCATCCTGGGCTATTGTAAGATAATCTTTTAACATTCTCTCTTGTTCTTGCCGCCATTGTTTCCTGGGATCTTCTATTTGTGTTGTTTCTTTATAGGAGAAAAATTAATTATTTAAAGAGACCTCTGCTGAAACCCACTGACAACAAAACTTGCTTCTTTTCCTGTAATTCACAGTTAGAGTAGTCTAAACCATAGTTTGCCTTTGGTTACTAAGCAGATGCCTCACTTCCTCAGTCACCACAGTGCATGTAAGAAACAGAATTCAAGGGATCAGTTGCAAAATTAGAAATTAGAGTAAAATAGACAAATGGTTACGGAGATCATTCCCATGCTGTCAACCTTGAATTAGCAACATCCTAAAACTCAAAAAAAAATATTTTTTGCATCAGAGTATTTGGAAATAATAGGATCAACAAAGTCTTTCAACATCTTAAAACAAGGCATTTCTGAACAAAAACTAAAATCAATCTTAGCTATTACATTTTTTCAACTCCCTTCCTCCCCACTTCATTATTTTTTACAGTCATATGTTATTCAGGTTTTTAGTGGTTATCTCTCTCCTTTCACTCTATAAAAACAATTTTATCTTCCCCCCTGTAACTGAACTAATAGATCATTAACTCTCCAGCTCACCTCTCCTAACTCCATCCCTATGCTGCTAGACACATGATCTAACACTCAACTCTCTTTTATGGCCAATAGAGAGGGCTGCCCTCAGTGGGCACTTCTGTCTGTCAAAGACAGGTGTCCGAGATCTGTGGGACCAAATTGCTTTTCTGAGATGTCTCCTTCTTTTCACCAACTACTCAGGTAATAAAAATGAGTAGGCCTTTAATTTACAAAGGGCTTCAGGTAACATTTGAAGTCCAGCAGCCACACACAACACAGACTTGCATAGGATACATGGACAAGAGGATCAGACATAACAGAAAGATCAATCTATATGTGAGATCAATCTAACTGAAGATTTTAAGATTTTATTTCTAATGCAAACATACAGAGAGGATTATATATGGTTGAATGTTCAAATTTATCAATATTTCCTTATTTAGTTGAGCACGTTTTGAAGCTGTAAAATGAATATTCTTCCTTTAAAGCTGTACTAAGTACGAAAACATTCTCATAAGACATAGCCATGAAAAGTCTGAAATCTAAATGCAAATGTGCACCACTCTTCCTAAGTTACATTCTGTAAATCTGCATAGATCTACAGAGATAAAAAGTAACATTTGGTAACAAAACATTTAAGTGCAAAGTATTCACTTCAGAATTTTTCTGCAAAAGTAGGAGGCACATTTGTTCTCTGGGTTAGATTTCTGCTGCTTTAGTCCTCTGAATTGCTTTACTGTTGGAACCAATGCAGGAGGGAAAAAAATGGGAACAAGTGGCTGAAGATGCGGAGAGGAAAAAGAACTGCAGCCTAACCAATGTGATTGCTCTAAACTGTAGCTGAAGTGCACTCTTGGGAGAAGGCACTCTTTCAACTCCATGTAAGAAACCAAAACAGCTTGTGTAACAGCAAAAGCTGATAAGGACAGGACCTGGTTAAAAACAATTTCTAATAGTTAATCTACCAGTTTTTCAAAAGCATTTTCTCTGTTAATATCACAATATCTTGTTAATATCACAATAACAAAAAGACATACAAAGAAAAAGCAGCATCCCATAAAACAAACCCCGTAGCATCCTAAAATGACGATCTCTATGGAGCTACTGATGCATTTAAAAACAATTAAATACATAAACACCCTCCCTCCACCATTTACAAATGTGACATTTCTACTTGGGAAAGGCATTTCTTGGATGCGCACGATGAATTCATAGAAAGTATAACCCACATAAACTCAAGTGTGGTGCATAAAAGATTAAAGCAGAAGAGCTTTATACACAGTTGGTTTTCCAAATAACCCCAACAGGAACGCTCTCTCAAAAAAACTAGCTATGGCTACAGACACACATACACATATATCCGTGTTTATAGCCACCTGCTCTTTTACACAAAGATATTGGGCACACAAAGAAGCAAATCAATACCTTTTCTCTCCTAAATGGTCAACACATGTTCCTATCTGTGCCCACTTATTGTTGTTGTGCTTTAACACACTGCACATTCACAGTTATTTACACAAGATAAGAAGTGCTGGTTTCCAGACTTGTCCTTTTTTGTAAAGCAAGTTGAAGAGCATGAAGCAGAATTCTCATGGGTCAATGATCAAATACGATAAATGCAGTTATGGTGGTTTTTTAGATGAATGTAATGATGTGATTGTGTTTTAAGAGTGCAACCAGCAGACACCAAATAATCTTACAAGATTGGAAGGTCTCATCTTCGAGCATGTTGCAGGTAATTGCTTTGTAGGTTTTAAGTGAGGATTGCTCAACATGCAGCCCAAAGACCAAATGTAGCCTGCAGAGTTCTAAAACATGGCCTACAGATGCCCTGTCCTTGTGACTGCAAGAGAAGGACAAAGCTGATCAACAGCAGATTATTTTGTATTGCTGACAAATACAATCAAACATTTCCTTTTTGCCTCTCCAAACTGCAAGTACAAAACAATACTATGATTATATGAGCTAGCATCCTTTATACTGAGAATCATAAATGAGTTAAAGGTGACCCTGCATTTAAAAAAACTGCACACTAACTTCAGCATACCAACGTTTGGGCATTTGCATGTGTAGGTACATTGGCTGATCAAATTACTCTCAGTCAATTTCAACTGCATGTATTTATTCTGGAACAAATGCTCAGTTGTGAAAATACATCACCATGGAAAAACAGAAGCAGTATGGAATGACTATCCTAGAATGGTTACGCTATCAAACAGGGAAGACTCTGAAAATTTTATTCTGTTCTCTTCTTAAATATTATGAATTTAAAAACCAAAAAAAGCATATCTCTTGTCTGGCAAGTTGTTCATATAATATATTTATATGTACGTATACATATTTCTAAAAACGTGTGCCTGTATAGCAGCACCATATGTTTGTTCATCTATATTTTTCAGTTAGCTCTATTTTCATCAGTAGGTTTATTCCACAGAAGAAAAAAACCCCAAAGACAGAACTATGGATGATATTTCTGGTTCTGTAGCACTACATTTTGAAATGTAGCACTGAAAAGTATGTTCATTTCAGCACCTTCCAAGAGCCGATAACTTTTTATAAAGCAGCGTTCTTTCAAAAATAAATATTTATACTTCTCAGGAAAGATAAGGATTTTTTTCCTTGGACAAGAATGTTTCAAGCACCTGCTGTTAAGGTCAAACTTGTACACACAAGAATATTATTGAGATAGTTACATGCAAATAATTGAGGGAAAAGTTTCCTGAACATTTGAAAACGAGTTATGAAGTCCTTCATGCTTAAACCAGAGTGAGATTTAAACCACAAAGAACATCCAAACTTTTTCCTCCCCTTACTATTCAGCAGCTAATGTTAAATAAAGTAGGGAGATCTCATTTCTTTTTTAAGGCAGATAAATGTTCCCACTGGTGACTGCAACAGGATACGTTATAACCCTGTCTGCAGCAGATAGGAATAATGCAGCAGATTGCCTGCTAGTCAGATGGAGAGATGTCATTTCTGCTCCTCAGGTGAGAAGGAAGCACTGATAATGAACACTAGACAGAGCTGTAGAGCTGCATCTGTTCTAGAAAATGCAAACTGGACTTCAATCATCAACAGTGGAAAATGAACAAACCATCTCCTCTTGGCAGGGCCTCTCCAACATTTTCTGCATAAACTTAGGTGTGAACTAAAGAAACCTGCTTCAAATGGATCTTTAAATGAGTAGGAGTAGTACATCAGGCTCTATGAATACTATAACTTAGATTTTTTTTTTAAATTGTGTATATCAACTTCCTTGTCCAAACACAATGCAAAAATAATGATCCATAGTAACAGAATTAAGAGGGTGGCAGTGTGTGTAATACTCAGGTTACTTATTCCTAATTTGACTTGGATTTAGCATCCTGTAAGCAAAGGCTCTTGCAAAGCAAAATTACTCAATTCTGTGAAGACAGCTTAATTTAAAACCAATTAATTAAACTTGAAACAAATTACTGCAAGTGTATAGTTAATAAATTTATTTAAAAACCCCAATAAACAAGCAGTTTATTTCCTCCTTATTTTTAAAGATCTGAATGACTAGCCACACTGGGGGGAAATTCTGTGGTCTCACACAGCGGAACCGCACAAAAGGCAGGATGGCACACTCCACCCAAGGACATTCCTGTCCCTGAAAGGATCACAGCCCTGTAACATAGAGGAGGAGGCTGTGCTGGCTTTAATCACACTGTTATTCATGAAATGCACTCTTCCTGGCTCACTGCCACCCAAGTTTGAGGCACTAAAACTCAGCAAAAAAAAAAACCAAAAAAAACCCAACAACAACAACAACAAAAAAAACCAACTAAAAAACAAAAACCTGGCCAGAACAATAATTCAAAATCAAAATGTCAGGACTGACCTTATGCCTTGGAAATTTTGTTTGTTCTTTTGGCAAAAATACACTTCAACTGCAAAAATGTTACACATGTCTTTGCAATTATACATAGGATATATATTATACTTGGGATACAGGCGATAGTCAGGCATGTTATTTTTTTTAAATGAGATATTTTCACATGTTATGTTCCTGTTTCCTATCAAGAAGTTCTGCCAAATTTTTACAGTCTACTTAACCAGAAGGAAACTATTACTTTATCAGCAGTAGATCTTATTTCCCTAAAATACATGGAATTACAATCCCACTAGAAAATCCCACTGGGAAGGGAACAGCTCCCTGATGCCCCACTGCTAAACATAAGAGAATTGGATATTTTACTACAGGATAAACAATATGTGGAAGCAATAGTTTTCCAATATCTCCCCTTGCCAAACAAAATAATAGCGTCAACTGGCTCTAGAACAACTAATATGTAAATAGTGTTAAGTCAGAGACACTTGCATTCAGGCAACACAGAGAACAAATGCTCTCAAGAGGTCCCTCAGAAAAAACAAGCCAGATAATCTAGATTGCTACTTGAGGAGGACAAATACACAGCAAGAGGAGAGAAAATCATGACATACTTTTTATTCTGAAG